GGTAAAAATAAGATTGTATCATGAAAGTAAAATATTCACACAGACTTATAAAAAAGAGTCTAAAAGACAATTGTATACAAAACTGATGCTTCATAGCGGAGTTTGATTTTACACTGAATATAAACCCTTTTAACCAAATATTTCTAGTTATTTTATTATTTATACCTATTTCATTCAATTCGAAATATATTATTTAAAATATTTAAATTAATTTATTTTAAAACAAATTGTTTAAAAAAAAAATTGTTTCTTCATTGTTATGGGTAAAATTTCATACGGTAGTCAACACTGGCCCACCATCGTAAAGTTATGTCTTTGTCTTTGTCTAATCCGAGCGATGGTATTGTTCTTGTCTCGCGTGTAAATGAGACATAAATATGTTTACTTTCAAATGTTTCGTGGTATCAAAGCTACGTCGTCAAAGTTCAAAAGTGGTTACACTTTTTTCGACGTGTGATAATGAGGTTTGCTTCTCTAGTGTTGTTTTGACTCAATGCCCCCACAAGTCGAGGCCACCACGTACCTGTAGCTTCATACCTATACTGTGGCGAGGGCATGGCCTTATATTCATATATTACGAGTAAGACATAAGACAATAGGTAATTACTTTACGGTAATTACTTTCACTTGAACAATGAGTAAGACCTCAAATGGCCAGCATTGTTTCAGTTTACATACAGGAGTTACGAGTAACGTATTTTATTAAATATTGTACCTACTCAAAGAAATTATTTTTATAATCTTGACAAATTATAAATGAGGCAAACCAGATTTCTACTTATTGTTATTGTATAAATTGTTATCTAGAAACACAACGCCTAAGATACAGGTTTCTTACCTAGTTTAGGAGTCTGTCGTAACTGACCGGTAGGTATTTGTGATCATATTACTACTTAAGCTCTGTTATACCTGTGCATATTATGTAGGTATATGTATGTAGCTCGCCCGTTTGCAGTACGACGTGACACGATCGTCGTCTCGCGGGAATACGAGTGTGAGAATGTTGAGGGGGTGGCGTGTGTGTTGTGCGTGCGTGTCACACACGAAACGCGCGCGCCCTCTTATATTTTTCGCGTTCTATTTAGAAGCGGGCACCAGGGCCTTCCTTTCTAGGGTATACCTGGTTCCCCGGCTATTAGTACCCGGCGAAGGCGTGCGGTTTTAGTCGGTTCGAGTCCGACATGCCACCGGTGGTATCCGGTGGTATCCGAGGGGATTTCCGCACGGAAAAAAAAAAAAAAAAAAAAAAAAAAAAAAAAAAAAAGGTATATGTATGTAGGTGCTGTGTTTAAGCTAAGTGTAAATATAAGAATTGAAGTAAATAAAGATTAATATTATTATTATTCTCTTTATTAAATTATAAATACATATTCATTACATTTTTAAATATATTACAAAAGAAAAAAAAACATTTAAAAATACAAAAAAAAAGAGTAGACCACCGACATCGGGTCCCCAAAATACCCACCGGTATTCCAAACATAGGAACCTCCTCACTATACGAGCCGTGTCAAGGAGGACTGCCTTCTGCATCAGACCCTTGATCCAGCCGTCCAACGTGAGCCTCTTAAGGTGTTGGTCGAGGCTCTTGGCTATCAATCCATGAGCAGATACGACTATCTGAACAAGGATCACTGAATCGACATTCCACATATCGACAATCTCGTGAGATAAATCCAAATATTTGATCTGTTTTTCTTTTTCAACTTTCACGAGATTCTCGTCATGAGGAACGGCGATATCAATACAATATCAATCACTACAATCGATACTCAGACTCGACTACAATATCAGGATTATTGGCAACAATAGTCCTTTTTGTGATAATAGATCGATCCCAATACAACGTGGCCCGACCATTCTCGAGAACTGGGTCGGGCACATACCTGTAGTATGGCACCTCTAGATTTTCAAGTTGGTATTTTAGGGCAAGCTGTTGGTGTACGATCCTGGCTACTTGGTTGTGCCTGTGCCTATTCACCGTTAGCGAGACGAGAACAACCAGAAATAATATGCCTGATTGATTCTCCAGGACGGTGGCATGCCCGACAGATGTCAACCTTACCATCTTTCAGGATATATTTGCGATAGTTATTTGTTATGATAACTTCGTCCATAATCACACAAACAAAACCTTAAGTTTCTCCGAAGAAATCACCATACCGTAGCCAAGTCGTAGATGCTTTTAAGTCTATATCGGACCCTAAATGGGCTCGATAATACCGACCATGGAGCTCTAGAAGGTCAAACTCCCATACTTACCTGCGATCATTAGTACTAAGTACTACAGGTTTGCGCCAATTCTCTTTAGCTAGAGCGAGCGGGGTGAATCCGGTATCTACGGTCTTGATGTTTAATATACCGCGACCTCCAAGCTTTCGCGGGATATACGATCTCATAACCGATGAACGTGGATGGTGCATTCGGAATGCAGTCAGCATTCCGAATGCACCATGTTCGGACTCTCCTGTCAAGAGCACCTAATTCGGTCTGAGTCCATCTAAGTATACCAAAGGAATACATCAGAACCGGCATGACCCAACCATTGCAGGATCTCACCTTATTGCCCCCTGATAAAAGACTTTTAAGTAGCCAAGCTGCCAAAAAAGCGTTCCTGCAACATCTGTTTCATGTCAGATTCTGGTATTCCCAACGACTGTGATATACCCAGATACTTGTAAGTTTTAGTGACAGACAGAGATCTGAGTTTTGTTGAATCTGAAAGCTCTGTTCCTTCAGATTCCACTATCACATACGCCCTTCTTGACATACAAGACTGCATACTTGTCTACACCAAATTCAATTTTGATAGAATTACTAAAGTTTTCCGTCACCTTTAATAATGCTGTCAATTGTAATCTAAGGTACCTGACGCAAATAAGTCCTGTACTCAATTAAGGCGTGCCGAATAGTCATTCAAAATATATTTACATACTTATTTACTTCAAAAATACTTCTCACATACATAGACGACAGCTCCGCTGATCGGCAAACGTGCGCAAGAGGTCATCTCTCATTCACAGCAACAATTCAAGGTGACGGGTGTTTTTGTAGCGCGTTATTAATTCATCGTGGTTTCTATCGAGTTTTAATACGTTTACATATTATAAAATTTTGTTTCAAGCAATGAATATAGATCGCAATATAGCTCATTAAAAAGATAACTATGTCTCTCAATTATAAGTTAGTTACCTTTAATTTAATTCTTGGTTGTTCTATCAAAGTTTATTGAATTTTTAATTACTTTGTAATATTTTTGAGAAATGTTGAGTATTAATTAGCTATTTTTTCACTATGTTTTAATAAGGCCACAGGCTAAGAAAGTCTTACCTCTTTGTGATTTTTAAAAAGAGTGTTTTTTCTTAATTATTTATAAACCATAAAATAATACCTTACCTTTTATTTATCATTTCCTTCAAATATTTATCTAGATATGAGTGTTTGAAATAAGGTAGGCCTTATTTGTATCACTTAGCTTGTCAAGTGTCTATAGGAAGCGATAACTGGAACGTATAAATATGTTTTACGATTTATATAAAAACCAATATAAGTAACTACGATGAGAATAACTTCAGACAATTACATGAACACTATCATTTTTTCTAGTAAATGACGTAAGGACGTTACACAAGGTCATCATAATACTACTTCCGTGTGTAATAATCAAAATTGCCAAACACTGGTTTGTTTACAGCAACGCCGCTACTTTACGGTTCAAAGGGACGCTAGGAGACAACATGCCTGATATTCTCAAGCAAAGATTGTTTCGACGAAATACTAAACTTATTTCTATAAAATTAATTTCAAACGTGATTCCATTCAAAGAACGACAGATATGAAATGTGTGTGATAGTAACCTTGATATATCTGATAACGTTACAAATAGTGACGTCACTGTCTTAACCAGATATTTTTACATACTTGTAGATATAGGTATACAAGCGTGTTTGAATCGTGCTCACATAATGATTTGATATTTGATGTAGATTGTAATTTCTAATAGATTTTTAGATGCGAAAACACAAAATGTTAAGTTGGTTTGTGTACGCTTCGAGAACTGAAAAGTTCTGCACCTTGTCTCTTGTGGTCTCACCTTTTGATAAAATATATTTATTTTTGACAAGTAACCTTCTTTACCGTTAAAGAGGATACGGATGTATGTACCTAAAGAGCAGGGAAATGACGAATTATATAAAAGATATTACGTAAGTAGATTAGGAGAAAATTTATTGCGCGCACTCTCGGCAAATTGGAGACTCGGTTTTTTATTTATGGTTTCATTTAAAAGGTCCACCTAAGTGATTGTTGGTTCTAAAATAAATAAACCCTGGTTACCCTAGACCCTATGTATAATGTAAGTATACCCATGGTTTACGGAAGTTTGAATAGGCGAAGATGGAGAACTCCTTTAACAGACAGATCTTATTTCACGATCTTAGTACTACTTAGGTATTAATAAAACCGGCTGTTACCAGTGTATATGTGATGATTGTCGTCATTTTACGCGCCAACTAAGGTCAAGTTGATATGTTTATCTATCGATTGCGGCATGCCCAAAAGTTTAAATTATCGATTTAACTAGTATACCTTATACTCGTAATTCACACATTATTAACCTCGTCGACAGAGCGTATCTAATAAAAGCTGTAGATAATAGCGATAATAAATGAAATTAAAAAGCAAAAAGTGTGTTAGCTCCAAGATTGCAATTTATAGCATTGTCATCTGAACATACTACATATTATATAAGTAGGTAGATACGCATACGAAGTTTCCTTTCGATTCGACGATTAGGATTTACCTAAAATTAGTTACAAGTGAAGCTAATAAAAGCTAATAAAAAGAAAACTGTACTTATTGCTTCTTAATTATCAAATTGACTTAAAGACTTGTATTCGTTTTGTTCCTATATGATTTAGGATATATTTTTTTAAATAAGCACATTACACAAAGATATTTATTTGGTTCTTATTAATGCCAAGTTCTATATTCCAGAAAACATGTCACGAAGAAGGTTATTGATCGGAGGCGCGGCAGGCGTCGCAGGCGCAGCAGTCGCCGCGTGGGCGATAGCGGCAGATGACTCACCAGTGGTGCGTATCTATATCAGTTGAGGAAACTCTTGATTATCTGCTAGGGGACACTGCAGTGCGTAGATAATGATTTCCCTTTATACTTACCGTGTGATATGTCGTTTGTAAATACCGCTTAATATCTTGAATTGTACTCATAAGACAATTATGAATCGGCAATATTTCTGCTTATCGTTTGGACGACTATACCGAACGAATAATATACTACACTACAAAATTTATTACTCCAAGAGTCGGAAACGCTTGCCATAAACGGATTATATTTAACGTATATACAGAGATGTCGGTAACGTTAACAGTTTCGCGAGTTTGAATGTGTTTTTCCCATCTCAAAAATAAGTCTTTTGTTAAACCAGAAAATACATTCTTTTGTTTGTTGTTAAAAAATGCCCAACGCGCCTAAAGAAGTTTTCTCTTCAATAAAGTCATTGCGTTGTTCCGTTTGCTCAAAATGCAGCACAAGAAATTTTTGGGCGGGTAGGATTTGAAAAATCTCTAGTTTAAACCTAGTTGTAATCATCAGCGAGTACTGTAACTGTTAAATAATTCTTAGTTTAAAGCTCCTAATTAAACTAGGTGAAGAGTTTAAAGCTCCCAATTAAACTTGGCGTAGATACCTATAGATTTTTATAGATTTATTTTTTCTTCATTAGCAATGGTACAAACCACCAAGACTGTCAGCCAAAACCGAGCGTAAGAAGCGCCCTCTACCCACAAGAGCCGACCAGATAGCAAGTCTGCAAGCTGGACACACATACGATATCCTCATCATTGGAGGCGGTGCCACTGGGGCGGGTTGTGCTCTCGATGCTTGCACAAGAGGTAAACGACAGCAGATCTTATCTACATAGAATTACGTCACATAAACAGATTATTAAAATATTTTGATGTGCCGTTACTTGCGAAGGTCCAAGAAACTAAAACGGATTGGATAAGCAATTTTAAAAATACACCTGCAAAGAAGCATCTTTTTTATGGTAAAGGGGCAAACGAGCTCAAGGGCCACCTGATAGTAAGTGACTTCCGCTGCCCATGGCCGTCTGCAACTCAGGAGGTAAGTGCATTGACGCACGATGCACCCCTCAGAGTTAAGAGGAGATTGTGCTTTGGGCAAGCTCACTCACTCTGTGAATAACAAGAGAAGAACTGCTTAATACCGATTTTTTTAGAGGTCATGGTATCACTCCTATGATGCAGACCTATAGGTAACGAAGCATGGCCCTCCCAAATTTACATTACTAAGCTTAAAACATTTTTATCCTTAGGTCTTCGTACCGCTATGGTTGAGGCTGACGACTTTGCCAGTGGCACTTCAAGCCGCAGCACAAAGTTAATTCACGGTGGTGTTCGTTACCTTCAGAAGGCTATAATGCAACTGGACTATGACCAGTACAAAATGGTGAAAGAAGCGCTACACGAAAGAGCCAATATGTTGGAGGTGGCGCCACATTTGACAAGGCCGTTGCCAATTTTACTGCCAGTTTATAAGTGAGTTTTAAGTTTCCTTTCTTATACCATCTATATGTTATATATCGTATAAATGTGAAAAGAAATATTAATAATAACTGTTTCGTGTGTACTCCATCTACTACACTCGGTTCCAAAAATTACGGGTCAGTCACAAAAATTGAAATACCTCCAGAACTGTAAAAGTTAAATCAATGAAATAAATAACAGAATAAAGACTTTTTAGTTGCGCTTCTAATAGCATATTATTTAAACTGGTTGATGAAAAAAACTTCATTAGAAAAATAAAATTTAAAAAAATGACTATTTTTAAAAACAAAATGTTTGTTTCATTTCATTATAGATGCTTTCCATTTCTATTCTGTCACAAAAAAAAATATCGTGAACGTCTTCCACGTGCATAATTATTATTCTGTGAGGTGAAGCATGGCAGTCCACGTGCATAATTATTATTCTGTGAGGTGAAGCATGGCAGTCACGCTAGAGGAATGTACCAGAATCCTAACTTTTTTGGAACTTGGGCGGAGCCAGCGTGAAACAGCCAGAAACATTGGTGTATCTTTGTCGACTGTTCAGCGGGAAGTCCAGCGGTACCAAGAGACCGGATCACACCTTAGAAGACCAGGACATGGCAGACCAAGATGCACAACGGCCAGGGAAGACAGACAACTGGTGGCTACAATGCTCCGAAATCGTTTTCAAACTGCTGTTGGTCTAAAAACTCATTTTATTCGCTTTGGAGGTGGCAATTTAAGCGCTCAAACAGTAAGAAGAGGTCTTGCTGAAGCAAATTTGAAACCATTGAGGCCCGCAAATGGCCCCAAACTGGAACGGGGACATCGAATTGCAAGACAGAGATACGTGCGCGAGTACCTAAACTGGACACTAGACGATTGGTCTAGGGTAATGTTCACGGACGAGTCTAAATTCATGCTTTATAAGCATGATGGTAGGCAGTTGGTGTACAGAAGACCAGGGGAGCGCTTCCATCAAGCGTGTGTGGAGGAAAAAGTGGCGTACGGTGGAGACTCCGTACAAGTTTGGGCTGGGATTTCTACTGAGGCCCGCACCGAGCTGGTACTCATTCAAAATGCAACTCTCAATGCAGAGAGGTACGTGGAATAGATCCTCAATGAACATGTAGGTCCTTTCATGGCCAGGATAGACCGGCATGGCATATTAATGCATGATAATGCGCGTCCCCATACCGCCAGAATTGTACATGACTACCTTGAAGAGGTCGGTATCGAACTCATGCAGTGGCCAGCGCGAAGCCCGGACTTAAACCCCATCGAGCACGGCTGGGACGAGCTTCAGAAATACGTGAAAGGTCGAAACCCCCCACCAATCACGCTTCCCGAGCTCAAACAAGCACTGGTGGAGGAATGGGAAGGTATTCCTCAGCACCGGCTCCGAAATTTGGTGTACAGCATGCCTAATCGCCTGGAAGCTGTCAGAAGAGCTCGTGGAGGCAATACAAAGTATTAAATGAAGAAAGTGATGAAAAACAGCAAAAAAACAATCATAATAAAATGTAATCTTAAGAAAAATATGACTACTTTAGTTTTTTTTTTTAATTTACAGATAAGTTAAGAGTTAGAGAGTTTAGATTTAAGTTTTTTTTTATCTGTATAATTAAATTCTCAATTGAACAGTCTTCGTTTCATTAGGATGGCATACGTAGTTCGGGAGATATTCGGGTTTATGTGACTGACCCGTTATTTTTGGAACCGAGTTTAGATTAATAAATTTTTTATTCTTACATATTTCTTAAATCGAATTCAATGAAGCATTGAGACAATTAAATACTGAACAACAAGAAATGACAATGAGACCCCAATTTTTCTTCTAATTGCAGATGGTGGCAAGTCCCCTATTACTGGTTCGGCATCAAAATGTACGACTTAGTGGCAGGCGATAGGAACGTGAAAAATTCGTATTACCTATCCAAGAAGAATACTCTCGAATTGTTCCCTATGTTAAAATCAGACAATCTCTGTGGCGGTATCGTGTATTATGACGGTAAGTTATTACACTCTTCATTTATATCCCTGTAGACTTCGGACCTCCGTGCCCGATTAACAGGCGGCCCCGTGTATCAGACATGGAAATTATTGCTACTTGTAAATCATATTCACTTGATGAAATTATTGTTTTTAGCCACAGCGATTTCACATGTGACTGTGATTTCGTCGTAGACAAAGAACGTCATTTTTTTTTATTTAGACCTTTCGCGAGTTTGCGCTAACGTAATAATAATAATGAAGTCGCAGTGGTTTAGTAAATCATATACAGTTGTGATGATACGATTTATCACAAGTGATTGTGATCTATTCAATCCCTACCGTGTATTACAGTAGTCTTATTCCCCCCTTCCTCCACTCGAGATAACAAATACGCACGGGTAACACGTCGCGACTATTCAAAGCCTCATGTTTTGGCACTGATGCCAATACCTCTAGAATAGTGTAATAAAATAAAAGATTACTAAAATAAATTGTCTGGATTGTTTGTTTTACTTATTCTTTTCTTTCTCGCAGTATTTGCGTGATTAGTATTTATTTAAGTGTCTTCAATTTATACCGAAAGCTTCTGTACGGAAAAACTATTCTGTTATGGGCCTGCCAAACTATGCTCCTGCTCATCGCTATGCTTCTCGCGCTACCGCGATATTGCCCTCTCTGCCCACACAGCTCTACTCGCGAAAATAATCGCGACGCTCCCCACTTGTCTTTGCTATACAATGGACGATGAAACTGTGGCAGCGTGCACACTATGCATTTTTGGTATAGCTAATTATGTCAATGCCATGCAAAGAAATATACATCGTCGTCGTCGTCCTCGCCAACGGAGACATGGTGGATGACACTTATTCATCGCAACAGAACGATGTAAGTACTATTAGATAGGAAAGAGGCTTTAAAATCTGTTTTAAAAATGACGTCTTGCGTGAGGTCTCGATGCGGACTGCGACCGCGCGATTGTGGGCAGCCACTCTCATATTGCCGGTCCTTTGACTAGCGCTTAAAAACCGACAAATTAGGGAGCGGTGGGCACGACGAGGAGCATGGCGTACGGCAATACGAGTAATTTTGCTACACCACGTGTGTGCCTCCTTTCCTCGCTACTTCAAATGCTAGTCGTCGAGTGTGTGGCAGGCCCATTATACTTATAAATAATGCATAAAAATCATTATTGCAGTACCGTCGACAAATAAAAATCACAATCAGATCAAATATGTGTACTAACATAAGAAATACTGCACCCTGGGTAAAGGTTAGAAATAAGTAGATTAAGTCCGTTACGTGCTACGAACCTCTTCTCTCGACCCTGTTCCAGAAGGTAGGTGATCTTGCTATCACGATAGATAAATATGAGACTTTGCTAACCAGGTCAACAAGATGACGCTCGTATGAACTTGGCGATAGCGTTAACGGCTGCTCGACATGGAGCTACTATTGCTAATCACGTCAAAGTCACCAAGCTCCATAAGACTTCTGGCAAGCTTAGTGGCGCCAGGGTTAAGGTACATACATTTTTTAATTGTGTAGTCAGATGATTGACACTTGATTCAGGTTCAAATTACAAAAATCTGAGTATTCCTCTTACAACACCAATAGGTATTAGCTTAGTGCTCATTATGGAACAAAAATTTTTATCAAATTTTATTCCTCATTTAGCACCTACGGTAAGATAGTTTCTAGTTATGGGATGATTAATAAAAGCAGGGGAGCCCATGATGCTAAATGGGGATTTACTCTTGCGTCATTAGGACCTATTGCATTTGAAAGATTAGGTGATAGAATTCATAAAAGTCACATAATGTTTCCACTTTCAGTGGTAGGAAAAGCTTCTACAGGTTTTCGAAAATGTAAGGGAAGGAAATAAAATATAAAATATTTGGCGCATAACATAGACGCCAAAAATGCTCCCATTTAAGGGTCTGATGATTTTAAAGTGACATAAGCTGGTAGCGAATTATCGAAAATACAAACTGCAAGTTCGAAAAATTGTCCAAATACCCGAGCGTGTTAGATTTTATACAGACGGTTCAGCTTGATGTTCCTGTCATACTAGCCAAAAATCTGTCGATAATTTTGCAGGGCAAAAAAAAACAAATATTTCAAATATTTGTTTTTTTTTATAAAATGTGACAAATAAAGGCACGAAAATTTATATAGACATTTAAAGAAGGTTTCTTTCATTGTTTGCTTCAAAATAAAAAATGGTCATGTGTTTTTTTTTTTTGGAACTTTGTGACCCTCCCACTGCTTTCTGTCAAATCGTCAGATTTTTTTAAATACACAATAATGTATATTTAATTGACTCAACTTACCTTAAACTTACACGCTCGAGTAAATCCCGAAATCCCTTCTAGGGTTCCCCTACTATAAGTATTGATTACAGATTTTTATCGACAAGTTTTATTTAAGAACTTTGTGCGCATAGGCATCCTATCACCGAATGAAAAACAAAAATTTAATAATTTTTTTTGTTACACAGAGCACCAAGCTAATACCTATATCTATTAGTGCTGTAAGTGGAGTAGCTTAGGTGCTGAAAATAGTGGCGAAAGAGTAATGCTCCCAAAAATCGACATAATTTATTAGTATTTGGTCAAACAATAAAATAATAGTTAAATAGTGGTTGCTAATCTTTATTGTTATAATGGCAATAGATTAAAAATTAGATTGTATTCAAGGCTACTTAAGTAATATTTTTTAAAGATTAAGTATATTGGTAACGGATTCTTCAAACATTCCGTTGAACAATTGGTTATAATTAGAATTGAATAATTGTTTGAATAATTAAAGGCAGATTTAGTTTCATACATTTCAGTAAGGTAAGGGTGCGCGAAGAAAACTCAGGAATCCCTAGTGCCTACATTGTTAGTGTGCCCCGAGGTTCAAGGGTGACGCAATGTTAACTTTGCTTGAGGTGTGAGGTGCTCCCGCCCTTCACCTTCACCTTCGATGCATTTAACACACGCGACTACTGTATAATATATAGTTAGCATGCATAGAAAATTTTTAAATGTTAACGCGTTAAAAATTTATGCTTTTTCTGCTACGTTATTCTATGCTTTTACTGTTTAGGTGCTCTGTTTTCATTATCCCATGGAAATATAGAAAACCTCAGCACTGATTTATATGCCATGGCTTTTCTGATTGCTCCAGGATGAACTATCTGGCAAGGAATGGGACGTCAAAGCGAAATGCATTATCAATGCGACCGGCCCCTTCACCGACAGTATTAGAAAGATGGACGACACAACGATAAAGGAGATTTGCTGTCCCTCATCAGGAGTCCATATTGTATTACCTGGATATTACAGGTAAAGAACAATCGATTTTATATTGTAGTACAAATGACAAAACATAGTGCATCACTTATTACAAGGATAGCTGGTAGGTACATAAATGAGTATTTTTAGAAACGTCTTCTTATTATTATGTTTAAGGAAGTCCCTAAACCTGGAGATCGTAGTCCGGTGTACCTCTAAAAAAGTTAGTTAAATTAAATGCTTGTTTTAGAAACAGCTTAAAGTAAGTACCGTATTCAAATCTACAACCACTTCTTTACCAGTCCAACTTTAAAGCCATCACTAAATTAGTACCATAAAAATCGTAATGATAACGATTTCTGTGATTAGTACAGTCAATATAAGTTTATTGTGTCTCCTGAGAATTAAGTAGTGGTCTCTGCGGCGAATATCAGTAAATAGAAGTTGTTGTGATCACTATAGTAATGTCGTAATACAATGGTACTAGGCAAAATGGCTAGTTAATTAATACTCTAGTGCGGTACTAAAAATAGGCACCGTTATTAATTTGAATTGTGTATCAGAGCGCTGCGGCCATGAACGACACTTATTTACGTACCTACGCAATTTATGTAGTGTTGGCAATATCTAGATACTCGTAGAAACTTACGGAAGGAAGTTGTGAACTCGAAATTTTATTGTCAAAATAATTAGGTGAATCTAAAGTCTACCTATATATAATAATAATGATAATAACTTCACGGCCGTCTGATCCCAAACTAGGTCTGCCTATTGCCTAGAGGTGAGGTTACTGTGGTAATCAGACCGCCGATACACATATTTCTAAATACATACATATAATAGATAAATTGCATCCAGACACAGAACTAGTGATCATGATCATCACACAATATTTGTCCTGGGTGCGAATCGAACCCACTACCTCTGGCTTAGCAGCAACGTCCGTGTGTGTGAGATTTGTAAAGTTATTATGAGTTATTATTATTATTTCCAGTCCCGAACATATGGGTCTGCTCGACCCAGCGACTTCGGACGGTCGCGTCATCTTCTTCCTGCCTTGGCTGAAAGGGACCATCGCTGGCACAACGGACATGCCCTGCGACGTCACGCGCAACCCTAAACCCACTGAAGATGAAATTGTCTTTATCCTAACTGAAGTTAAAAATTATTTGAATCCTGATGTTGAAGGCAAGTCATTCAGTAATTATTATTCAAGTACATAGGATAGTAAAAATGACGACTAAGACTGAGTCCGTGGTATGCAGTTTCGACCTGGACGAATTTAGCGTGTCAGACGAACTATACTGAACTGGTCTATAAAAATTAAAACACAATAATAAAATCTGCTGGACACACTTACCCGTACTAGGTACTAGTCTTGCTTAAACCACTTTGTTAGGTATAAATTTTCAAAACGTAGTAACTCAAAACTAAGTTGACTGCGCTTAACAGCTGGTTTCGATACCTTCTATTGTGGACCCTAAATCAAGGTACGTCCTACTTTGTGACGGTTGCAGTGTTACCGCTCGGCATTACACAAAGAAACGCTAGGACCCACGACACAGGTAGTAAGAGCTGATCTGTGCTCACAATAAGCATAGAACAGTTATATACAATTGTACCCACCTTTTTCTAAAAGTGTAATAGTGTATAATATTTTTCACAGAAATGAATCTTTCTTCTTTCCTCCGAGCCTTTTTTTAGCTTCACAGTTTGTTTGTTTGTAACCGACTCCTTTGGGCGTGATTTTGATTGACTTTAAACGGTCAGAATTCGTTCAAACTTTGTAGAAATATCGATGACCGAAGACAATACACTAATTTAAAATAAAAAAAAAATTAATAATGTTAAAATAATGAAAAAATTGTTTAAAAAAACTAAAAACCACGCTTTTTATAAAAAAGCAAACTAAAAAATAGAAAATAAATTTTAATAAATTTGAAAAAAAAGCGTGGAATGCTTTTTACTATTGACATGCACCCAACGCTTTTTTCCAATTTATTTTGTAGTTTTTAGTTTGGTTTTCCATAAAAAGCGTGATTATTAGCTTTTTTAAACTATTATTATTTAAACCTAGGTTGGGGTCGGCTTTAGGTCTACTACGGTACGGTACTGAATTTCGATTTTAACATCGGAACTAAACAACTAAAGTACAAGGCAGTATCGAAGTTCTAGTAAGGCTAATCTAATTCATTAAATTAAATTATTAAACAAAACGGATATTATGTCTTAAATCAATCAAACCAATGTTTCGAAATCATCAGTAGTTTTTTTTTGTCTTATCTAATCTTATCCAAACCACACGAGACAGATTCCGTCTTCTAGTATAATCTGGTTCATAATAAACCTTTGGCTTTAACGGAGAGTTGAAATCAATGAATGTTTTAAATAATCGACTTTTGAAAGCAAACATTGCTTTCAAAAGTCGATTATTTAAAACAAGAACTTACTTTTTTCTTGGGCGTCGAAAACGACCTCAACGAATTCACTCATTGAGCTATAGAAATATTACGTGATGAGATTACGTAATCAAAGGTATTCTGAGGTATAACATAAAAAAACAAGCGAATTGCAAATTTTTTTGAAGTCGATTTCAAATCTTTGTGGCTAGTGAACCCGACCTTAAATTTCAATGACTTTTCAGTACGCCGCGGTGATGTCCTCTCGGCTTGGTCCGGCATCAGACCTCTAGTCTCCGACCCGAACAAGCCAGACACACAGTCTCTCGCCCGTAACCACATCGTGCACGTGTCCACGTCCGGTCTCGTCACCATCGCTGGTGGCAAGTGGACCACATACAGATCTATGGCTGCTGAAACCATTGACGCTGCTATTGAGAGTGAGTGTAGTATTATAATCTTACAACTGGTGTGAAATATGTTATCAATCTGTATTTTGGTTACGTAAGACTCTGCAGCTAGTTTTTGAACTCTTTTCACAAAATAAAACCTTATCTAAAAGGATCAATTACAATTTTAGGAAAACAAGTTCTCTGGACTTTTTATAACGAGGACAAGAAAGAAAGAAAGAAACTACTATAGTTTCTTTTCACTAAATCAGTTCCTCAGATTGTAGGAAAGCGAAAGGAAACATGTTACATACCAAAAATCCTGAATTTTATTTTTATTATTTTATTTTATGTTCATAAAATAAAAAAAAATACGTAGGTAGGTATCTAGAAAGGATACCTATACTCAAACATTGTTGTATTACCTATTTTTCAGGTGCCAACCTAAAGCCACTATTCCGGGAATGTCAAACAGACGGCTTCTTAATAGAAGGAGCCCACGGCTGGACCCCTACAATGTACATTAGATTAGTGCAAGATTTTGGTCTGGAGATGGAAGTGAGTGTAGTATTTACCTTCAGATTGTACTTTAACTTACGTAACGTACCTATACTGTTCTAATATAAATTTACTTGCTGTGCCACAACCCCCATAGGTAGTTATTAGGAACTGAGGACTTGTAGAAAATGTTTTTTTCGATTTCGATCCTTTCGAAAGGACAGAAATAAACATAAGTAGTTACATAAATCCGCGGGAACGCGGAACTAAGCGATGCATATTTGAGCTGAGGGATTATCGATCTCGCAATCTTTGTCATTTCAGTCTAAAAATCGATGAATTTTCTCGTAACACATATCTACTTAATTTCAGGTGGCTCAACATCTGGCAAAGTCCTATGGAGATCGAGCATTTGCTGTTGCGAAGATGGCGGCTATGACCGGCAAGCGGTGGCCGATCATCGGCAAGAAGGTCCATCCCGAGTTCCCGTACATTGATGCTGAAATAAGGTAAATCATTTATTTATGTTAGAACAGTATACCAGCTATTACTACCATGTATAAATAGTCCGAACAAAATATGATACATAACAATCAATCAATACTTATCTCTATCCAAACCCATAAGTACGTATCTGACGGATAAAAAAATGTACCTATACTTTTCAGCGCGCCTTAAAAAGAAAATTTTGAAACTATAACTTTTTTCTTTGGAAATTAGTTTTATGACTTTGATATAAACAATACTTGAAAGGCTCTAAATCAACGGACGTTATATCAAAAGTGTTGTATGGTAGGTACGGCGTGCGCGAGTACGCGTGCACGGCGGTGGATATGATAGCGCGGCGCCTGCGCCTCGCCTTCCTCAACGTGCAGGCCGCCGCCGAGGCGCTGCCCGCCATCGTCGACATCATGGCCGAGGAACTCAACTGGACCGACGCCGAGAAAAAGGTAGCCTTTTTTTGACTGAGTAGAAATTTTACTTAAGTTTTTGTTGTGATATTCATTCATTTCATTCGAAAATACTTAAAAACTGATATGTGACATAAGTATTTATGGTGCCCTCTTCAGTATGTCAGTTAGAACCATTTATTTTGGATGAGCCATGTTTGGGAATAAATGAGCCAACTCCGGACCGTAGTGACGGTGATCATCGTGATCATGAGAGGCCCGAAGATTAGGCCCCCTCCCCCTTCCTTTTTTTATGTGACCTGTGGCTCCTGAATTGCAGGTAACCATGGGCGGTAGTCACTTACCATGACCTTCTGCCTGTTTGCCCTCCTATACCAAAAAAAAAAGAGTACCTAGCCAAATGAGACGATAAGTTAGAATACCTACTTATAATTCATATTACAGAAACAAATAAAAGACGCTGGTGACTTCTTAGCCAACGAGATGGGCCAGATGGTGAACCGCGCTAGCCGCGACAAAATTCCAATCAACCTGAGCAAAGACGAGATACAGACATACATCAAACGATTCCAAATTATCGATAAAGACAGGAAGGGCTTCGTATCTATCAACGATATTAGAAGAAGTCTCAAGGTATACTTATCTATATTTCTATTTTCTATGTTTCTCTATAAGCAGATTATCTATCCACCTACTTGTTTTGAATAAACAAATACAGATCTAAACTATTAAACTTAAGTTAAACATTCGTAGTCGAGAGGGTCCCCTGTCTTAGAATGAGTTTTTTTAAAGAATGGGATAATCCTAGAATAAAAAAAGAAGTACAAAAAGTAAATAGTAAATATTAGACTTGCAACGAATATTCGGTTACTATTCGGTATTCGGCCTATTCGGCTGCTTTTATTATATTCGGCCGAATACCGAATATCTACATATTATTCGGCCGAATACCGAATACTTAAATAATATATTTTGTCATTGAGAAATAATTGGTAAAATGAAAAATTAAAATCGATTGATTACGTATATATTCATATTTTCATTTCTGTTATAATCATTTAAGTAGTCATTGGTGCATAACACAGGTACATAATCATCTTCTGAATTGGAAAAATGGAGGATTCTATGTATTTGAATTATTGTGGTAATCAAAATTTAGAAGGGTAAGGTTCTCATTTCTTTTATAATCATTTATTAAGTAGTCATTGGTACATAAAACAGGTACATAATTTAATTCACGTCTGTACAAGTTTTTGGCGCTAAAATCCAGCCGAATACTTTTGCCTAATATTCGGCTATTCGGTCAGGGGCCTCGCCGAATATTCGGTATACTGCCGAATATACTATTCGTTGCAAGTCTAGTAAATATGTTAGGTAGTAGCTAATAGAATAACTTTAATTTAAAGAAAATCCATCATAGATTTAATTATCAATATAAAATCTTTGGATTTTAGATAATCCTTTGATTGATGATTGATTGCTTATTATTATTATATTTTATTATTATCTTTTTTTAATAGACAATTTACTAGGTGTTAATGTATGACATGTTTTCAACTGACACTGCGGGTTCTAGAGTATGGGTGTGAAACCTACGGATGATGAAATACGCTACTTATTGTCAGAGATTGATCTCACGTACCACGGCCAACTGGAGCTTCAGGACTACCTACAGGTAGAAATATCCTACGAAAAAGTGGGAATTTGGTGTAGCTGGGATACCAATCATGCTATCGTGGTCCACGTCTCGTATGGAAAAGGGGAACTATTTGTGATATTATGCACTCTAACGCCTGACGCTCCAGCGCCTCGTCTAACGTGCCTAATGTTAGAAATATAAAAAAAGTAGTTTGAATTTTCAATTGTCATAGACAAAATGTAACGGCAAAAATGTGCGGGCTTTTTTATATTGGATGTCAAAAATAGTATTGTCAAAAAAATATCCTACGTGGCTTGTCTTTGACAAAAATCTTACAAACTACTTTATTCATGTCATGTCCATTGTGAACGCTTTTTGACGTCATAGTTTTTCACAGAACTACGGCGAGGAGGTGACCGGAGAACAATTGCACGAAATATTGAAAGAGATCGACACTAACATGAATGGACAAGTCGAGCTCGACGAATATCTTCAGGTCTATACTTTGTCATGTGTGGCTTTAGTTAATTCCTGTTGTTAAACGGTATTATTTTGAACTAATGAACGAACGTACTGACATATATTGTTTAGTAAAAAAAACATAGCAGATCGTAATGAGGCTCTTCTGGCGCTAAGTAGGTTAAAAAAAACTGTCTACTTATACCTATAATATATACGTGCGAAGTACATTTAAATTGCTGGTCTGGTCTTATTTTTTGGCACCACTTCAACTTATTAGCTTTTAAAATTAGATGTCTGAAGACAATTGTTTTCATTTCACGATACCTACCTATTTTAAACAAAGACATTCAACACATTGTGAATAACTTGATTTAAATTTTAAAAATAGATTTAGAAAACAACTACATACTGTCAGTGTAGAAATTAAAAAATTAGTCTCTACCTATTTTTTTTTAACACAGTATTAATTAAAGCCAAAATACTTTTTGGAATGGTTTTCTGCATGTAGTGCGGTATTTAAGCGATTCGCTTTGCCTTCCTTTTTTTTTGCTGGTTTTTTATGTTTTCATTTACACATCTTCATCACATTATATGTGTTGGCTTTTGTCATTAATATAAGGTAAGAAAACTAAGAAAACTATACCAACTTCAATGGTTCTTTGCAGAGCATAAATTAAGAAGATATACCTACTAACGTTCTTCATAACCAGTCATTTAAATTCTTTTGGAGCATGATTTTGAGTCTTGTATTAGACGATGTTAATCTCAAAAAAAAAAAAACTTTTTATGTGAAATCAATTTTAGTTTAGCAAGGTAATTTGTCGTGACCTTAACAAAGAGTTAGTCTGTGATTGTCTTTTATTGTTTTATTTGTCCATATTAAGAATAACTCTACTGATTGAATTTGACCATGACCATAAAGCATCGAACCGTTATACCGTTATTGATCAACTCCTATCCACGCAGATGATGTCTGCGATCAAGTCTGGTCACGTGGCATATTCACGGTTCGCTCGCATGGCTGAGATGGAAGAGGAACACCACGAGAAAGAGAAGCTTGCTAAGAAGATCTCTGTTGAGAGAAGTGGCGGTGGCTTGTAGACAAAAAACGATAAGGTACTTTATTAGTACTTTATTCAAATTCATACTGAACTATTAACTATTCATTAAGGTAATAAATAACAGTCAATGTTTGAGTAGGAACTCTGTACTAGATTAATTTAAAAAATCTCATATCGATTAGGTAGGTAGGTACTATAAATTATAATCCCTTATAAGTCCTCTATAAATGTTTTACCATTAACTAGTGTAAGTATTAAATGTAGAAACCTGTTACGAGTATTTTGAAATGTTGTAATTTAGCGGCCATTATGATCTTGATCATTGAGATCTATTGAGCTGCAAAATGCATTTTAAAGGTAAATAAAGTATACATTTTATACCATTAGGATAGAGCTGAAAGTCGTATGTATTCCTCATTCATGCAAATCTGCGACTGCGAGAAAAAAACCGCGCGCATAGGCTCGAGCAGTCGAGTTTGTTAATACTTTTCCAAAGAAACTCTTAAAATTGAGTTTCTGGTATTACCTAAGAAGAGTATTATTGGTAAATACCTAAAAAGAGTTCTTTTTTTCGAGAATTAATTTATTCGTTTCTGTTTCAGATGTCCAAAACTCAGTAAAGTAAAGTTACGCATTCACAAGTATTATTTCACAACTCTAGATTATAATTTATTGCAGTTTTGCGTATGTAAATAGTTAAAACATAAAAAAAAAACACCGCTACTCACGATTGCAGTTCAATGTCATTCGAATCACGTTCCTGTCCATGTTCATGTGATCATTCGAATTCATAAATATTGTAGTTAAATTTTTTACTCACATGTGTGTGATCTAAGTGTTATTGACATAAACAGAGCCTCTCTATGGCCTTTTTCTATAAAAAATACAAAATGTACCTAAGTATAACATCATTGTAACCTGCTGCACCTGTCACGTCTGTGAACATATCTATTATAGGTAATTATATCACGTAAAAGACGTTACCGTGTAATTTATGATGTACTTAATAGGTACTCATAACATTTACCTGGTGTTTTTTTTTTCAAAACTTTTTAAACATTTGGATTCTTGTAACTTAATTTTAAGAACAATTTATTTGTTACATTTATTTATAATTTTACGAAGAATTATTTATTAAATATACTGATTTGTTGAATCCTAATTTATTACAATTTTATTGTTATTTGTACCTTTGTATGTTGATGTTCCAATGAAGTGTAAAAAGAAATTCAGGACAAACATCACTTTCTACTCACCAAGGTTTTACTTTTTTTTTTACAAGAAATGTTTTTTTGCTTCTCAGCCACCTTAGTGATATAAATAAATGTACTGAAACCGAAAGCGTTGCCTTTTATCTATAAATCTACAACAGTGTCCGAGGGCGCAACCCTTGGCTATAATAAATCTCAAAAATGTGGGTAAGCCCTTTTTTCACATTGCTGAGAGCGTTTTGCTATTGAATAACATCTACAATTTATATTGTACGTACCTACGCAGGTGTACTTTAGTCCTTGATGTTTATATTATCTAATAAAACGATTTTGAATTATCTACTGCCTTTTTTATTTCCTGCAATGCACCTTTTTTTTTTCCTTGCGAAATCCCCTCGGATACCACCTATCGGTGGCATGTCGGACTCGAACCGACTTAAACCGCACGCCGTCTCGGGTAGGGTATTTTTAATATTGTCATTTGGTCTATGTCAATGTCAATGGACTCTGAGAGGGTTAAGTGTAGAATAAAAAATACTTAATTGGATAAACGATAAATGGACGATTAATATGGATTCGTATTCCCTAACTCCCCAAGCGAAAAAAACTTCTAATCATAAAGTGATGATGAGTAAACGATTAGGAGTTAATTATTGGCTGTTAATTTTTTTTTGGATATTTTTGGTGCGTAAATATAAACACAACTAAGAATTTAGCTAAATATAGCTTCCAAGACTGATAAAATATTTGAAAGTGGCTACTGTCCAGTGTACGGTATAGGTACCTGCTTAGTAGCCAAAAAGTACCTAAAGATCCGAAGGGAATCGGGAAAAAGGGATCGATCAATCAACAGCTTTTAGTAGGTCACTGCTGGACAGTCCTCTCCTTAGAAAGGAGATTTGGGCCTACTATACCCCTCTGGCCAGACAGGTTGATATAGGGTTTGTTTCAAGTTTTCCTTCTCTTTTTGCAGTGCTGTTGTCCTGCAGAGTTTGCACCCTTAGTCTTACGACACCTGCTTGATAAATAGAGGTAGTGACATTGCGTATTTTTAATCCGTCACCACACGTATCTACCATCGGGGGGTCACGAGTATTGAACTGGTATTTTAGTAAGATTTTACGTAAGTGATCAAATTGGAGGTGGTCGTGAGTCCTGATTGGGCACATAAATGACAAAACCTGAATGCCAGCTGGATCTACCGCTTGCGCCCGATTGGCTGTCACTAAATTTACACGTTAGTAATTCTTATATGTATCAGGTAAGTATCGGTAATAACTGATACTTACAAACAAACACCTGGAAACCTTTTCCTATACTTAGAAATAGACTCGTGTTATGTAGGTACTTACATAAAATACAAAAACCATCTACAACTACCAACAGGTAAAACAACAAGGTAGTAAGTACCAAATTAATGACTACCTAATGAAATTTGACAATATTAAAATTAGGAACAAAACCAATTAAGTGGGTATTATTATTAGTTTGTTTATGCACTAAAGATACGTGTTTCTTGTGGTAAACACTTAGGGTTGTAGTCTAGCTATGCTAGCAAGGTAACTTACAGGTAACGGCTTTTGTACCTACTTATCTACATAAGTAATAAACAAGTGCAAAGTAAAGTGTCTATTCATCACTCCGAATGGCTCCGATCAAACTTACCTACCTAATTGAGCGGTAAAGTACTACTCTGTCAAGAAAGTACCGGGAAAGGATCAATAATACACAAAATGATTGTTAGTCATCCAAATTTATTTTATCACCTTCAAAGTATGCTCCGTCAGAAACGATACACTTACGCCAACAAATAATCCAATCTTCAAAACATTTTTTACACGCTGTTTCCGGAATTGAGTTCAGTTCTCGCCGCACATTTTCCATTATGTCTTGTACTGATTGATAACGGGTGCCACGAAGTGGTAATTTGAGTTTAAAAAAAGACCATGGTATTTGTTGAGTGTTTGGTCAAAAATTCGTTCACAATGATGGCCTTGTGCGAAGGCGCATTATCGTGGTGCAAAATTCCAAGAATTTTCTTTCCACAAATTTGGCCTTTTTCGTCGAGTTTGCTCTCTTAAATGCCGCATAGCGCTCAAATAATATTCTTTATTTACCGTTTGAAGTAAGAAGAAGAATTCCCTTCCGGCAAGAATTCCGAGTGCACAAAACCGCGATTGTCAAAGAAAACAGTAAACATGACTTTGACTTTTGATCGAGTTTGGCGTGGTTTTTTCGGTTTCCGTTCAGTTGGAAGGCGAGACTCCGAAGCTTGTTGACTAGTCTGCATGTCGAACTCGTAAACCCACGTCTCGTCACCAGTAACAATGAGTTTCATGAATGTTGAGTCGGAATTGACTCGTTCTAGCATGTCCTCAGCGACTCTCATGCGATTGAGTTTTTGGAGAAAATTTAGGTCTTTTGGGACTAGCCGAGCGATAACATGTTTCATACCCAAATGATTAGTTAAAATGGTACGGATCGACTCGTGAGATACAGAAAGTACGGCGGCTATCTCTCTCAAAGTTGAATGAGGATTTTCAGTCACTATTTCCTTCACTTTTGCGATGTTAACTTCAGTTGCAGACGTTGATGGCTTACCAGAGCGAGGCAAATCTTCCATCACATCTCAACCGCTTTTGAATGCTTTGTACCACTCATAAGCACGTTTTTTTGATAAAGTCGATTCACCGTAAGCCTTCTGTAACATTTTCAGTGACTCCGAACACGAAATTCCATTGGCGATGCAAAATTTAAGACAAACTCTTTGTTCGATGTTTTTGTCCTTTATGAAATTCGCAATACACACTAGATATGATATAACTGAACAGCACCGTATCTAATATAAATTAAAGATGCAACTCAAACTACGCGCCAAAAGGAAAACAGTTGTGCCAATCAACAACAACAAAAAAAAAAAACTTGATTTTAGAACCAAAAACAAATCATCCATTCCCGATACTTTTTTGACTTAATGTATGTTTATCAAGCTCAAGACACTCATTAAACTATGTGGGTACCTATCGTTCATATCTACCTTCTGGGTTTAAAGGTCACGTTTAGATAGCCAATTCCGCTTTTCGTCATAATTTCACAAATAGGTAGGTAGTGTGTGTGTCTTTCTTTGTAAAAAACTGAGGAATTACTTTTTTTTTTTGCTTTTATTTATCTATTTATTTTAAGGAACACAAACAATGTATTGCACAATTCCTAAAAAGAAGCTATAAATGTAACATGTTGGTATCTAGTTGCTATTTGGAATGACGGGAACAGCTGACTTGTGTCATCAGAGTAACTCGGTAAATTATCACAAATAATTTGATTTCTTTCATCTTTGTTTTATAATTTGCAATATTCTATACTCTGCTATTTCGTGAACGGCTCCGCTTATATTCTCTCTATAGGTAGATAATTTAAGTACTTAGCAAAAAAAAAATATCCAAACCAAACCATAGAATATTAAACATGTACGGCGTCGAAACGTTGTCTCTGGTTACTTTCAAAATTAATTGGCGGGAAAAAGTTCTTTAGCCCCAGCCGCGGTGTAGGGCGGCGGTTACGCCCCCGCGGCCGACGTTCTCGCGGGCGGGCGGTGGGTGGGCGCGTCTCTTCCGCGTTCTCATGAATATATAAAACCAAGGTTACTCAAAGAAGGGTTGCTGGGAACTTCATTTTATTTGACTTTGAAATTAAACGGAAGTCAAGGATTTGAATAGTATGCTGTTTTAGTATTGTTTTTTTTATTAGATAGTGTTTTAAGTACACTAGATACTAGATAGTGTGAGTACCTATAGTGTTTTAAATTTAAGTATTAAAGAGTTTTGTATGTACATTTACCTATACGAGACATCTTGTTTTTATTTTATGTTACACTTAAAGGTATAATTAAATTTTGTAATGAGATCATTTTTAAGCAAAAGCTTAAAAAATAATCTTAGAGAGATACTACTACAAACCTAATTGCACATGGGAGAAAGACTTGTTAAGTATTGTAGGTACTGATTGTGGTTCCAGCAACGAAACCACTGGATCGCATGTGCAACTTCTTTGCCTTTACCAGTTTTGAGCTAACTAACTAAATGATACCTGTAGTAGAAGTTCAGGTACCTATAGGTACGTGGATTATATTACCTTGAAGGCAAAATTTACACCTACTACCTAAATGATTTCCTGAATTGAAAATAACCTGCAAGTTACTTGTAGCTTTGGAAGAATGAGTTTAATTTAAAATGTTGTGGTATTTGCAATTTCACAGAACACCAGTTACCTACCTACTTGCCTATCTAGGTACCTTGGTCTCTCACTGTGAAGCTGTTGGTACCTAATGCTAAAGAAAGAGATCGCTGAACGGGGTCAGGAAAGGGTCTAGCCCGAGCGAAGAATACCGCTCATACCGCCGCCGACGGCTTACATACCTACTTCTGGCTTTTTCGTCCCCGAGGTGACGGAGATCCGAACTGATTTTCCACCCCCCTCAACAAAAAAAAAGGTACCTTGGTAGTTATCGTTGTACATGCTGATTGTCCGTGTGTAGTGGACACAAAACCCACTTTATAATACATAATATGACACATTATAAACAGCGCTAGACTATAATGGCATCTAATAAGCACATTGTATCTTCCTACATAAAAACTTCTAGGATATTTGTATCGAACCTGCGACTTCTGACGATCCAGTCGAATGCTCTACTGACAACCCGTTTGAGAGGTCAAAATAATAGTCTAACTAAAAAAAGACAAAAAGGAGTTTTTTATAAGGAGTAAAAAACAATTTCAACTCATCCTTGAGCGGATTTTATGTACAGTCATCTTGGGTAACTTTGAATTTAAGTCCAACTTTGAATAAAACCTTTCGCGTACATCACTTATTTTTTTCTTGGCAAAAATGTTGAAAGATATCCAAATTATTAAGTGAAACGGAACGACATAATACTAAGGAAGCAACTTAAAAAAAAAAAGTGATATCTGTCAAAATAAAACTTAAATTTTAGCCGCCCTTTCTGAATACGCTTTTTATCGGGTGTACGTTGCAGAGATAAATTTGTAAAAAATAATTAGGAAAGCTGTTTAAAACAGGTGAGATTTTGACTTTTCTTGTTGTTTATGTTTTCGCCTTCAATTTTATTATAAAAGATGTGACTTTAACTTTAGGTTTTTGAATTGAAATCGTAATTTCTAATGTGCTTTCAAAAGATATGAATATTGGGTAACTTTGAATCGTTCAATGTTACCCGAAACTTAAACTTTTTTGTTAGGGTAACTTTGAATAAAAGTGAATTTATTTTTTAGGGTGAAAAATGCCGAGAAAATCTGAAAAAGTAAAGCCTGGTGTGAGGAAATATGGAAAGAAAAGTAATTACACGCCTGAGATTCTTCAAGAAGCTATTGAAAAAATAAAATCAGGAGCCATATCGCGAGTAGGTGCAGCCAAATTATATAAAATACCCCCTGTGACATTATTTTATAAATTAAAAGAAAAGCATGATAATAATGTGGGTAGACCTAAAATATTTACTGATGAAGAAGAAAACACTTTTGTTTCACATCTTCTCATGATGGCCGATTTGGGTATTCCTTGCAGTATGTTAGATTTTCGAGTAATTGTACGTAATTATTTGACAAAGAACAACAAAATTGTACCTCAATTTAAGGATAACATGCCGGGCTATGAATGGGGTACATTATTTTTAGAGAGACATCCTGAGATAAAAGAAAAAGTAGGACATAAAATTCCTAGAAAGAGAGCCCAAGTAAATCGAGAACAAATTGACGAGTTTTTTCGCAATATTAAAGCAGAAATAGAAGGAGTTGCACCTAACAATATTTATAATATGGACGAAACAGGTTTTCACGACGATCCAGGTAAGAAGAAGCTATTATTTCATAGGGATTGTCGCAATCCTGAGATAGTTAAAAACTCATCGAAATCCTGCTACACTGTCATATTTTGCGGCAATGCCAATGGTGATATGATGCCACCATTTTTTGTTTTCAAAGGCAAAAAGTTATGGTCGGACTGGTTATTTCAAGCTCCATCTGGTTCCAGAATGTCAGTTTCACAATCTGGATGGATTGATCAATCAATTTTCGAGGATTGGCTGGAAAACCACTTTTTGCCTTACGTTGACAAGGATGACGGTAAAAAAATATTGCTCTGCGATAACTTGAGTGCACATATTTCTCCGAAAGCATTGCGTTTGTGTGAAGCTCATAATGTAGCTTTTATATGCCTGATTCCTAACTCTACTCATTTACTACAACCTCTGGATGTGGGCTATTTTTCTCCCCTTAAAACTGCATGGCGTAAAGTGTTAGATAGCTATCGTAATACAAGTAGAGGGAAAAAAGTATTAGCTTTGCCAAAGTCTCTGTTTGCACAGCTTATAAAAACTACTTTGGAAAATATCAAAGTCACTTCAGCTGAAAACATGAAAGCAGGTTTTAGGAGCTGTGGGTTGTACCCTTTTTCTCCACAAACCGTTTTAAGCAAACTGCCTACATATACATCTCAAACAGAAGTACGAGAATCAGTAGCCGAAAGTTTTGTTAACTTTATAGAAGAAGTCAGGCAATCTGATCTAAATGTGCTAGGGAAAGCAAGAAAATTTCAGTTGCCTGTGACAGCAGGAAAAAGCGTTTCAGCCGAAGAAGTGGAAGAGTATCAGAAAAATAGAGAAAAAGAAAATAAAGGAAAACCAGTGACTGAGGGCAAAAAAAGAGGCAGGCCTAAGGGATCTACAAATAAAGGTAAAGTTAACAAAAAAGCTAAAGTATCAGAACAAGAAGCTTCAAATAGTGCACAGAATGTTGACTCTGCTAATAATGGTATTGAGAGTGAGCTACAGAAAACTGAAAGACGGGATCAAGTTGTCTGTGCTGAGATACATCAATATGAATCAAGAATAAAAGAGTCTAAAAACCTAGAAGATATTTCCATAAATTTAGATACAGAAAAAAGCCATGATATAAATAAGTTGCATGCACCAGTAATAACAGAAACCGTGGAGGAATACCCACTAACGGAAGATCACTTCTTGGAACTGGGCGATGAGATCACTATAGAACCTCATTCATCACCAGATGTAGTGGAGGACTTTATAGTGCATTTAGATGACACATTGATAAAAGCAGCAAACCAAACTAGCAACCAAAATGACAACCAGCCATTGGAGGGTTCTTATTGTGTATTCAACGTCGAAGGCAGTTTGTTTCCAGGTCGCATTACCAAGATTACTGATTGCCAAATTACTCTCAGTCTCCCACAAAAAAAAATTTCTGGGGGTTGGACATGGCCATCAAAAATTGATATTCATCAAATAGATAAAAAAGAAATTATACATATGTTGAATGATGACCAGATTATTAGAAGTGGCAGTAAATTTAAAATTAATGACGACATTTTGTTTATGGAATGGGGAGAGTAGATTTTGGATTTGAAATTTTTGTATGACATTTTTTTTCAGACTTATTTGAATTTGATCTCATTTTAAAGCTAAATAAATAAATAATTTGATGCTTGCTTTTTATTTACTAATATCTTGCTAATTCAATTAATACAAACATGTGAAAAAATTTTTTTTGGGCTATCCTTTTCACTGCAAATTATGAATCACTTATGGTGGCTACCTAATATATAGTTAGTTTTTGAACGAAAACTGTCACTAATATCAGATTTTATTTTGTTAATTAAAATATACCCTCAAAGTTACCCAAATAATCAAATTAAGGACACAGTATAAGAATTTGTATGATGTGGAAAACACCATTCAATGTTACCCAAAGTTCGTGGTAACATTGAATCACTACATTTTTGCAAATTACTAATGAACTATCCAATAAATCTTTATAAAAACCTTAGCAATCCATAGACAAGTATATTTGAACATTCAACATGATATAAAATAATATAACGTTCAAATAAAAATAATTGTGATTGTATAAAAAATCTACAAAAGTGTTCAAAGTTACCCAAGATGACTGTACCTAAGTAAGTAGGTATTTCACGTATCTTACCCTCTTAAGGAAAACTCAATGACACTTCCCTATCTTTAAGAAGTAGATACTACTAGTTATTTTAGTCGCGCCTTAGGTAAAACCTGCACTATGTGACATTAGACAACCACGTACCCAGGTATAGTAGGTACCTATGTACCTACGTATATTAAAGTACTGGTGCTTGGTGCCCACAACAATGAGTAAAGCGATGCCAACATACTTTCACACTATATTTATTAAAGAATCATTGCATTAAAACAATTACGTGTCGCTGTTCAAATAGGCACACAAACACAAAGATTAATGGCACGATAGCATCGTGCATTGAACCATCGCTGTGTGGGTGGGGAGTTACGCGCCCACGTGCCTTTTTGTGGCTACACCTTAAATGTACTGCATTACTATTTCTAATAAAATACTTTATCATATATTCTTGAAGTATTAATTAACCGAGATGCAACTGACTCATGAGAGCTAGGGCGTGTCTGGGCGCGGGGGCGGGTGGCGCGGGCGGTCCGGACCGCCCACCGATACTTCCGCTTCCGTATGCCCATAAACCCTACGGTCCTTGAAAATCCATAAAGGACAATATCTCAGGATTGCATTGCAGCAGAAAAAATAATCAACCTGCATAAAATATGGCTCTACAATGAGTGCAACGGTTCGCCTGTACCTATGGCGAGTCCGCCAAATCAATGAAACATCGTTCTGTATTAGCCACCTTTTTTTTTCCGTGCGGAAATCCCGTCGGATACCACCTATCGGTGGCATGTCGGACTCGAACCGACTAAAACCGCACACCGTCTCGGGGGGGTCACCGTACTAATAGCCGGGGAACCAGGTATACCCTAGAAAGGAAGTCCCTGGTGCCCCGACATACCTCGGGCCATCTACAACAAGTAGACGACCCCCCCCCCCCGTGTGGGAACCCCATGTTCCCTCTGCTCCCTGGAAGCGAGCGCGCTTCGCAACGCTTCTGCTAGGGTGACAGATGGCCACACCTGTCACCTCCAAGCCTGCGCTTATGGAGGACGGAGGTCGTTGTATTAGCCACCTATTAATTGTTCATTGTCCATCGAACTGTCGATGTTCAACTATTATGTTATACACATTTCTATTGTGTCATACTACTTTCAATCTATACATTCTTATAAAATAACTCTGACCGACTGACCGATTCTTCAACGCAAGCCTAAACCGCTGGGACTACAAACTTGAAATTTTGGCAGATGATGATTTTTATGTTGTAAGCACCTCCTAATAAAGGGTTTTTGGAAATGTCACTCCTAAAGGGGTAAAATAATTACGAACGGTTGTATGGAAGTTCGTCATTTTCAAAGTTACAAACACGAAAATAATGGCTTGAGGGGTCTATGAACCCCCAGTGGGAACGAAGTTCCTTTCGCTTTTTGGTAGACGTTTCCTATGCAGTCATTATAATTTATATTATAAAATAAGTATCAAGTTAGTGGAGTTAAATTAATTTTTTTTTTGATAAAATATATTTATTATGTATAAAATAAATAATGATAAATTAAACACTAAATGGTCTGGGACATGAAGTGTCGGGAAAAAGTCTGGTTACACATTTTTCGGTCTCGCTCCCATCCGCTCAGAGCGTGTAACGCGCGATAAGGAACTTCGTTCCAATAAGAACCAATCACGCAACTGAAGCTAGTACGAGAAACAGATGGTCATACAAATACAAAGACAGTTTAATATGACCTATGAAACCTCCTTTCTACGGAGAGGCTTATGTCCAGCAGTGGACTATTAAAGGCTGTTGATGAATATGACAGGCAAGACAGGACCCGATAGAATTCCACAACATCGTACTTACTGAGATTCTGATTAACCGTTTCACTGAGTATAAGATCATATCAACACATAATCATTCATTTAAAATCTTTCTTTTTCTATTAAGTGTAGGCCATTGCAGCGTTGCATGCAGTTAAATATCTAGGTAATTAGTCTGTGAGTACCAACATGCAAACAAATTAAATCTATTTAAGTAGTTTGATTACGTTCATTAGTTAGGGTATTGACTTTAAACATCTGTGTTATTAATGAAGAAATCATAAAATTGGAAAGATTTTTAACAACCAGACCTAGGCTACTTACATGTGTTTGGGGTCTAATATTAGGTAGGTAGGTAGGTAAACTTACCTAGGTATGTATAAGTAGGTATATCTATATAAAAAAAAAAAAAAAAGGTATATCTATATATATACAGATAATTAGCAAAAATTACTCAAGCCTTTTACTATCAGTCCGTCATTCTTCAGCGAATGACATTCAATAACCAGCACGTGACCATGAGGGAAACTCCATCCATCACTTTACCGTTGTGTTCTTAAACAGGTATGACGACACCTTGTCTTAGAAGTAGAGACCGCGGATCTGTAAACGAAAGGTAGGAAGCCCTCCAGCCAAATGTTCTGACGACTTGAGAAAAGTAGCTGGGGTAGATTGGACGCACCACCCCGCCGTAAACTCCGGAGGGGTGACGGCCCGAGGGGATTTCCACAAGTTAGAAAAAAAAGACTGGACGCAAAAGGTGGAGAATCGAGAACTATGGCGTACATTGAGGCCTTAGTTTAACAGTGGACTGCAATAGGGTGACTGAGTGATTGATTTGACACAAAATAGATAATTACATACAGATTTGTTAAATTAGTTGTTTGCTATTACTGTTTTTACTTCAATAATAGATTGTAGATAAAGAAACAATGTTCAGTTAATGTCCATGTCCTAATAGCGTCTCAAATCACAAGTCCTACAAACTAGCTCGGTTCAAATCTGTTTGCATTTTGATACTTTTCTGTGATACCTACTTACAATAGTTCTTGTAGAAACTACCAAGCCACGTATTTTGACTAAGGTGTAGAGTTTGTGAAGTTAGGGCTTGTAGAGTTATGGTGTGTAGAGTTAGAACCTTGGCTCTACATGATATCTCATAAATTTTTGACAGTGAAAGCTATATGGTCTCGTCTTGGCAACATTTTACATGAACATATTTTTGGTGGAATGGTTTAATCGTTTAATATGTTACTCTGTAACAAACATAAAATTAAATTCCTCTACTTAAGCAGTACCGACAATTTCGTCATAGGCATGAGAAAACTGTTTTATAGAGATAATTCCCTTTGTTAAATAAAATTTTAAAGTTATCACAAACAGAGATTAAGTATTTTTTCATTCTTAGGCGGTGTTCCTTAAACTTTCAAAATTTAAGGTATGTAGTAGATGATACTGCTGTAGATACTGCTAAAGCTGCATGATGGAAAGAAAACATTTAGCTGTCATAGCATTCGTATTCTCATGGAATTTATCGTTGTTTGACGTTAAACCTGGTTGTTTGACGGTAAACCACAACGTTAGGCGCGACTAAGGAAATCTAATCTATCTAAGAAGGCACATGTTTAAGCTAAGAAGAAGTGTAGACCTTTGTTGGGCTACTTTACTTTTTGATGGTATGGAAGGAACATGAGCAGACGGGTCACCCGATGGCAAGTCAGTTGACCATAGACACCTGCAACTTGAGACACAGTTGGCTGGTGGGTAGATTTGGACCCTTGACAACATCACTTAACTACTCAGTGTAAAAGATACGAAAGAATTGCCAAGCAAACCCAATTAGTAGTAAAATTTGCGATTAATTTTTTCTACGTTTGGTGTGAAGTCCTGGTGAGGACCTGTATAGGGGTTAATGGATATTCGTTCCAACTAAGAGATTTCACCTTTACCAGCTTTCTGTCTTAAAGCATATCTATCAATCTGCTATGCAACTACCAATGAAAAAAATGCTCGTAACAAAGACTGCGTGGTATCAATTGGAACAGTTTATTTAATTATAAGAACCTTCAGCCATTGAAATATGTACTGACTATATTTTTGTATGGACGTTGACGAAATTATTGTTTATGTTTTATTTCACTGGACATGGGCGTAACTTCGGAGGAGGGGTTTCGTTTTACACATTTTATACAAATATCTGTTCCTATTTGGGCGTTGTAGCGGACAGTTTTATTAACATCATTAAATGTTTTAGAATATTCTTAGCACGTATAAGAACTACTTACTAATAAAACCCACTATGTGTTGGGTTAATGTCCCTTTGAAGGCAAAATCAAACTACCCTCATCGATTTTTATTCTCATTATATTCTATAAGTAGATACATTCCTATTAGATCTAAGTAAATACCTACTTGTATTCAGAGCAGGAAAATAATGATGCAGTAAAAAAACTTTGGGCTAGTTCAGTTTTAATCCCTTAGTCAATAAGAATCGCCCTACAAACGAGACTCAAAAGAGATCGCAGTGCACGCACGTTGCTATGGGGAACGATTGGGGGACTACCCTCTCTTTGATCGAGGGCTAGACAGAATTTAATCTAGTACACGGAGAGCCCTTCAATCGATTTTGTAGCTCTCATTTGTAAACTCTCGATTGTAAATTAATTTTAAAGATAGGACTTATTTTAAAACATCTACTAAAGACTGGACTGGACTTATAGGTTAAGAGTGTCAAAATTACCCTTAAGACTGTATTTCAAAGTACTTACTCTACCACGTAGTATGTATAGGTACGTAGGTATCACAACGAGGTGGATAATTTAACTGCAGTTAAATCAGACAATAATAAAAACAAAAACGGAAAAAATCAAAATTCAAAGGGTATTTTGATAAGTCACAGTAATGAAAGCAAGACTGTAGAGGTTACTAATTGGCAGTAATTCAAACATAATAATAATACAATACTATTACACAACAATAATATTCCTGAAAAAAAAAACAAGTTAAGTGGAAAGTTGAAGCGCGTCAATCATTCTACTTTGTTGTCTTCATTTGGTACCTAAATTAAAAAAAAATTGAGTTAACATCTTTAGGTAAATAGTTAACAATACTTATAAGTGCTATAACATTAATCTACTTACTGCTAATATGGGTTAGGAAGTTAGTAATGACTTTCTACTTATTAGACGTTTTTCAATAGTAAGCACCTATGCGATAAGCTTCTAATCTGTATTCTACCATAGGTTCGCCATGATTCACAGTGAGACAACCATTAGGTATGCACTTTAGGTACTAGACGAAATAAAGGTATATACTTGTTATTGATGCGAAAGTGTGTCTGTCTGTCATCTGTTATTCTCTCTATTACCTCTCCACGCTTAAACCGTTGAGCCGATTTATATGAAATAAGGTATAACATATGATAGTTTTTATTCAACAAAATCATCCTTTAATGAGGTAAAAAGAGGGGTGCAAATTTGTAAAGGAAATCAATATCCGCTAAACCGATTTAGACGAAATTTGGTATGGAGATAGTTTGATTATTGAGGAAGGACATGTGTTACCGGGATAACCGCCATACACTCGGGCGGACCCGCAGGCAAAAGATAGTTTATAAATATAGACAAATAGGTACCTACCATACTAACTTGAAAATTTCTGCTAACAACTGTGATAGATATTTGGAATGTGAATTGCATTCGCTAAATAGCTGCATACTTATGACTACCTTCCTAAGACTGCCATTCCTTCGTGGCCTGAATTTGCATATTACTTATGCTGCTAGCCATTTACGTAACGTGTTATTACCTGGCTGAATAGTGATATGCATATATTGGTACTTATATACATTGCTTACGAAATATAGGGGCTTGGCCCTGGAGAGGAAACCATTAATCTTGATTACAATCTTGTGGATACTACCTACTTAAACTCGTTTTAAGTTGCTCTCAAATTTATAAGTACTTTAACTTTACTTTAAAATAATACTAAACTAAGTTTAGTAGTAAGTATAGGTACCTACTGTGAATACTGTCGGTTCTAATTAGGTATGCTTCTATACAATATTCCAAAACGAACAATCGTCCGAAAACAATGAATGGCGATGATTTCATCAATGATATTCATCAACTAATTAAGTGGTTATACGCAAACAGCATCACGTCACTCGGCTACCGCATGCCGTGCCACGCCGACAAGGTACACCCATAATAGAATTATGAAAATGTAACAACGACGTAGGTTTTCCATCGTGAGCAAATTAAATTGAACTTTACTGCCTTTTCTCAGAGTATAAAATGAAAACTCATCAGATTAGAAAACTGCGTACTTTGACATGCAAGTCTACGTATCTATTTGTGTGGCAGTTTCAGCTTTAAGTCACAAAAGATTAGGTCGGTAATAGGCCGGTACATAGGTAAGATAATTAAGCAGGAGACACACGCTCTCTCGGGGCGGTTGTTCATTCGTGCATAATGGGCTCGGGGCAATGCGACGCGACTGACGCTTGACAAAACGCGCCTCGACTTTCACTCTCGATCAAAACCTGTATAAACCTATAAATAATGGGGTCGTCATAACATGCATAGTAATTTGTAAAAGGCATTAGTTGGCACCTAATGAAATTTGCAGATTACTAATGAAAATGACTTAGATTTCCGTCGTAATAAGTACACCATTAAGTACCTACCTAGGTTTAAATATTTGAGAACTTAATGACGTCTGACTATGCTAAGTGTTTGGACCATTAGCAATATAAAAAAATGTTGTCTTAAGCAAATTTACATAATTGAAAAATTATGACGTGTAAAAAACTTACCACGTTCATAGGTATGTTTAATCGTAGGTAGATAGTAAACCGACTAAGTATCTACCCATAGCTGATGTCCGTAACCTACTACATTAAGAATTATATTCTACTAAGTAATAGCTTAATACAATGGGTGAACTTGATCCAACACTGATAACAGTTTCTCAGATAGGTGCCAGTGTTGTATTCTAACACACGCCAGGGATTCACGTGAACAAAGAATCGTTAGTGCAACAGTGCGGGTACGCTTATCGTTTGTTTACAGGCCACGTCTTGTTACACGGCTGGCGCGTCGACCGGCACGACATGTGTGCATTTTTTGCCCGCCCAAGGAGGCCGCGGGCGCGAGGTTATACACCCATTATTACGTCCTTCCTACTTTCAATTATTATTATCGGGCGGCGGCGCCGCTCCCGCGACGGGGAGGTGGAGAGAGGCGCAGCTGCTGCCTGCCTACCAATAATCAAGACCTGTCTCCAAAAGAGTGAGACAGAAATAGCGGCAGCTAACGGGAAATATGTACTTTTGTAAAGATTTCCTTGCACTGCACTTACTGCAGACAACTAGGACTATCCTAGATTAATTATAAAACTCTTGAAGTAATTCCAGATCGCCAAGACACTAAAATATCTGTCAACACAGTGAATAAACGAAGTAAATCCGAAAGCGATAGGAGGCGGATCTCCGAAAATTCCCGAGTATACACGACGCGGATCGTCAGTTTGCTCGCCACAGTTTGGCGGCCGGTCGTGAGAATGGTGTTTTCTGTTCGTGAACAAAGAAAAATTATTGTTTGCAAGTGTAGAGTAGATAATGTCGCCTGAGCCTACCAAAGTGAAGGTGGAATACATAACCGAGGACAAAACTAGCAAGGTAAAGAGTGCAAAGTGAAAGGATGCAGTGTTATTGTGTAACAGATCGGACGCCAGCGGGCAGCGGTCTCGTGTCGGTCGGCGCAGGGGGAGGGCGGGGCGAGTGCGGCCCCGGCCGTGTGGGGCCCGCCAGGCCACACGCAGGAGGTTGTGACCGTGTTGCAAGTAACTCCCTTGTCGAAACAGCATCAGCGTCCTCCTCCAGTTCCGCGTTTTTAGTTATTGCCACATATATCTATTTCAATTACTAAATACGGGATCGGTAGCACTAGTCACACAATCGAGAATGGCAACTAATATTATAGCAAGTGTTTAATGTCAAGGATGTACGGGAACTCTAATAATAAAAATTCAAAAGATATTCCATGCAAGAATCAACGTTTAAAGGAAACTTGTTTACACGCTTAAAACTAACGTGTCCGATATGTTGTTGTCATAGCCTACATAGCAGCTGCATAAAAATCAGTCACGCGATTTGAGGTGGGTGGATCAAAGGGCGGCGGCGCTGTGGCCTTGGTGCGACGACTCCCGGCACTTGTTAGGAAAAGGCGTGTCGACTCACAACTATTACGATATATAAAACTTCGCTAACTGTTGCAACGTGGAAACTTTACTTGTACATAAACAATACATAATGCACAATAATAAAAATACCAAGCAGAAATAAAAATATACGACGTAAAAGGAGATCACTCACTCCATTGCTTAAAATAACAGGACATATTACTAAAAAAATATCTAATTCTAGTTTAAACTTTTGGACCTTTTAAATGATATAAATTGCATGCACATAAAGCGGTTGAGCAAGGGATTTCAGGTAGGTAATATCATAAAACGTCAGCGTACCTCTTTTTTAAAGCGGAAATTTGAATTTTTCTTTATTCCCGCCAAGCGCGCCAATTGAAAAACCAGATCACTGAAGAGACTAAACGTCATTTTAATTTTTATGCATATTGTAATATGTGGGCTTCTTCTTCTATCGCTCTAATAATATTTATAAACCTAATTAAGAAATAGACTAGACAGACTAATGAAATCGAAATTTAACATAGTTTACCTCTGACTAAATTTCAAATTGTAAAAAATTACTTTCCAACGTGGCTTCTCAGGAATCTTTGGACACCATTTTGGTTTAGCATAGATAATTTTTTAAACTCTAATGCTATTTAGTACACTATAAATAATGTTACATAAATCATTGCGTTTTTACTATTTTTTCATTTTTTTAAATATTTATTTAAGAATTGCTTCTGTGGTATTTAAATATTTTTCAAGCTAATTTTAGTATAAATTGAAAGAAAAAGAAATCTGGCAACACGTAAATATCAATTATTTTGACAGTCAATTCAGGATGAAGTACATATTACTGTTTGTTTACCTTAATATTTTTATAAAAGAAATTCATGATGACCTTAAGTCTAGCCCTGACATAGCCATTTTTAGTAATTAGTTGACTCACCTTCTGTAATATGTGAATGAAAACCCAGCAAGGTAAAGCTTCAATTATTATATTGTTACTGCTAAACTAAGTAATTCATTATGCAACTGGTTCATATTAGTACATTGTTAAATTATGGATTACAAGCAGTAATCCTCACGTAAGTAAGGAATGCTCACATACTATTTCTTAAGGTAAAAGAATAAAAACATAGATACATTGTGTTCATGTTTTATCTATTCAGGCTTATTATCCTTTTCAGACTTTTTTCTAACTTATATAGTGGTTAAATAATTGTGTTATTGTTTATATTTATTATTTAAAAGTATTTGCAATCATTTTTATATCTGATTATGAGCCATATACTGGAAGCCATATACTTTGTTTAGAAAAAATATTTCAAACTGTTCTTTCATGAATATTAGCACAATTGTAAAAAGGCACCAAAAATATTAAGCGTTTGTGGCTTTAAGGAAGCAAATGAATAAGCTCGATCATTATCAGTCTGTACATAATAAGAAACAAGTATAAACTTTTTGTGTATTTATTTACAATAGAGGTAATTAAGTTCATTTAAATAAATAGAATAACTTTTTTAACTCTTGCGTGTCATGATATATAGCTATGTATGGTATTTCTTGAGACATGACCTTATCTTACAACTTAGTAACTTACTTAGACATATTTTCTAAAAATCCTGTTGCAATAAATAATACCTAATACAAATCTCTTAGGATACAGGCTTTTACCAGTTGTTTCAACTGTTGTTTATAATGATAAAAGAGAGCAACAACATTAAACACATGCCAAACAGTAAGACAGTTCATGGATATTGACGAAAATGAAACAGCACAAGACACTGAGCAACCACCATCTACATAACCAAAACACACACCTCACTGTATTTACTTGGTTTTGTCCTGTAAATACAATTAAAACCAGACTTGAGCTGAGAAAAAATAACAATAAAATAATAATAATAATACTATACCTGTTAAAGCTGGTTGGCAGATTAGTACCTCTAATTAAAAAAAAAACAAAATATGAGACATACTCCGCTTCTGTGTATCTGTGATATATAAATCATTATTATAATATTAGTGAGAAAGAGTGACAATTATATTTTAATTTCAGGAGGGCAGCGGTACGCAGTCGCCCCTTGCACTTTTGGCGGCGACGTGCAGCCGGCTCGGCGCCGCCACCATGGGTCCTGAGCAGCAGGATAGCAAGGAGCAGCAGCATTTCAGTTAGTATTATAAGCATGACTAAGATTTATTTCAGTTTAACCGGAGAGCTGAAAGGAAGCAAAAGAAGAAAAGGAATTCCAACAAGTACAATTTAAGACACAATTGAGCCTGTATATGTCACTAGTGTAATGTTGCTGCATAGTCACTAGTTGTTTATGTTGTCAGTATTTATTGTTCTTTTTTTGTAAGGGCTCCAAGGTCTATACAAACATAAAAGTAATGCATACAAACTAAGCCAGACTCAGATTGATAGTCTTTAAACGACAAATCCTTAAACCACTGCACATCCATACAATAATTAAATCTGAAGCTAATACTTAGTCTAAACGGTAAACCTGTAAAAACTTTTACTTCTGGCCAGGTTAACATTCATCCAAAAATATATTACAGTATTATATTCATAAATTGTATCCAGGCCCCCAGCAACAACAGCAGGCTCAGCAACAACAACAAGCCCAACAACAAGCCCAACAACAACAAGCCCAACAACAACAGGCCCAACAACAACAGGCACAGCAACAAGCTCAGCAGCAACAGGCGCAGCAACAAGCTCAGCAGCAACAGGCGCAATTAATACAGCAACAGGTGCAAGGCGCAGATGCGGCAACGATTGCTGCAATACAGCAACAGTACTTGCAACAGCAGCAACAACAGCCGCAACTTAGAGTCATCAGTGCTGCTGTAGTGCAGCAGCTGAGAGCACAGGGACTATCGGTAAGTTACAAATATATTACAGTATAAGAAAACAAGTCCACGATCCACTACTAAGTAAATCTCTATTGTGGTGTATAAATATTCGATTATTCAAAACAATATCTTAGCTGCAACAAATATAGATAGGCAAACGTTTTTAAGATTCAATTTTTTCGAGCCATTTAATATAGTATAATGTAAATACCAGAGTCGTTTATTAGTATGACCAAGGAAAATATCACAATGTGTGATGAAGCTAGTAGTGTCAAATGATGTTGTAAAAGAATTAAATTGTTTTAGTATTTAAGTGTTTGGTTTTTGAAAACGATTAAAATATTAACCACAAATCACTACTGAACAAATCTCTATGATTCTATAGATGTTTTCAGGACCACAGAAAACTGTATCTTTCATCCAGAAAATTACATTCACCAATTGCTTTAAAAATATATATTAAGGTGAACTAAACCGCAGACAGAAGCTAAGTGAACATACATTTTAATGTTACAGGGTAATGAGTTGTCAGCGGCAATTGTCAATGCTGCAAATTCTGTACCAAATGGAATACAAGTACAACAGCCACAGGTAATTATTAAATTGTATCATTTTTGTTGCTCACGTAAGGTCGTTAGAGCTACATTAATTTGGTTAGAAAAAAGAGCAGCTGATACTGTTATTAACAGAAACCTTAGAGCTGTATTGGTCCTGATCCTGTATTGGTAGGATCAGACCTCTGAGTTACAGTCGCTTAAAGACATTTTGTGATTATTATTCATTATACATATATTATTCAGTATACTCACAATTCACAAAACCACAGGCAGGCCTGTTGGTCTAGTGGTTAGTGACCCTGACTGCTGAGCGGGGGAGGTCATGGGTTCGATTCCCACCCAGAACAAATATTGTGTGATGAGCACGACATTGTATGTGTCTGGGAGTAATTTATCTATAATATTTATTTTTGTAATACAGACTCTGTCCAGTTTGGGACCACACTGCCGTGTGTTAGATCTGTGAAGTTAATACATACTAGTTATTCCATACAGGATTATTATAATGTAAATGTATTATAACCAACATACCTCTTGAGAGATTAATATACTAAGACTATGCTGGGCTGGCTGCAAATGCCAAGCTGACATCATAACAGTGGCTATACAATTTTAATTTAAAAATAAACACGGAAAAATTATGAGTTTCTTTAAACAAATACCAATCAAGTTAGTTTTAAAATAAACCATCCCTTGACTTTATTACTGACATGTTTGACACTTGCACCTATAAAAAATCTGTATTCAAATAATGAATAGTTACAATTTAAATATATTTGTATTCGTTTTAATGAGTACTTTGTCCTGCTACAGCTCACTTCCATTAAAGTAACTGCTATATGTCCTACATCTACACTCAATGACAACTTCGTCATAAATTAATTCTTCACACACTTTAAATAACGTTTTAAAATTAGTATTGAATTGACTGAGTAATCATTTATAATAGCACATTACACACTACTCATTAAGACGCCATTTGTGTTATGTGATTAATCAGTGAAGTAGCAAAGCCTAGTAGTAGCCTATTAAAACTTAAAAGGTGGAATTTTTTTATAAGCATGAACTGTATTCTGTACCTCCCCTTCGAAAGTTTGTTTTTAAAATCAGTAATATCATACTGACTTAACATTTTGATTTCATTAATTGCTGCCAGTATTAAGTTGAATCAGATGTATATAAAACAAGCTGTGATCTTATGCTTATCAGGTGTTTAGGTTTTGGAAGGATATTAAATATACAAGATGCTTACATAAATAAACTAAGAATAGTAATAGGGAACAAGTGGGAAAATCTGTCACCGTGAACCGGGCACTTGGGAAAAAATGGGAATGGAATTTAAGAAAAGGAAAATGCAGAAAAGACAGCAAGCAATAGAAAGAAGTGAATATTGCATATATAGATAGATATATTAAACTCTTTATTTTTACTACTTGTAAAACAGTGTAAAAATAAAGAGTTTTATTTTTATGTACCATAATACTTATTATGGTACATAAAAATGTCAGACATGTAATGTACAAATGACAGTCTTGTTGCTAAGAGCAATCTCTTCCGTGCAACCTTAGGATGGAGCAAAATGTTTCGGAGAGACAGTAGTACTTGAAGGTGCAATGAGTTTTGACAGGTTAATTACTAATGAATATAAAAAAGGTAAAATTGGATTAATATTTACACTTAAAACACATATTTATAAATACTAACAAATATATGTAAATACCTACATACATAACTAATTAAGTATATCACATACAAAAAAAAAATCACATCATGACTGACTTAATTAAAATTCATAAAATTCTTGAACCATTTTCTTAAAACTGTTTATTGTATGCGCTTATTTTGCATATCGTCATAGTCGTAGAATAGTCTCGGATCTGACATTTTCAATAAATGTAGGCACTTTACAGGGTAGCCATTTCAAATAATTATGTTAATTTTTTGACAAAACTTTTTTTGTAACTTGTAACTGTAATTATGAAAATTCGCATACAAATGAAGAATAGAATTTGTTTTAAAATGCAATAAAAATAACAACTAATAATTATACAATTTTCTATAAAAATCATGCTTCATTTTACTTTGAGCGTGTATCAAACAAACACTGAATAATTTAAAATCTAAAAGCATATAATTTTTCTTTAATGATGTGATAATAATTAGACAATGTAGTATCCAGATATGGTGAAAACTGAATTTCGTATTTTTTCAAAACCGACATTATTCTACGATCATAACGATATATATAAATGGGATGGGTATTGTAACCAATTGGTCGATGTGTCAGGTCAGATTTTTATGGCTGCAACCCAAACTGGCTATTGCCTGAAAATCCGGCCTCTTTAATATGCTATGTTGTGGTAAAAAGGCACTTTCTCGTATGTCTGAATGTACACAGGAATTAAAATCGGTTACAACTGTTATTTTGTTACAGGTGATATCGATGCAACAACTGCAGTCGTTGCTCGGTGGTGGAGTTGTGTCGGGAGAGGGAGCCACGTATCAGAACTCGCCACAGCAACTGTTGCAGATACACCCTCAGTTATTGCAGGTAGTAAGTTTGATCTTTCTTTAAAAATAAAAATAATAGTTTCACACATCTCACAGCTGTCTGATCCCAAACTAGGCAGAGCCTGTACTATGGTAACCAGACCGCTGATAAACATACATATATATTTCTAAATACATACATAATATAGATAAATTACACCCAGACACAGAACAAGCGATCGTGCTCATCACACAATTATTTGTCCTGGGTGGGAATCGAACCCACGACCTTTGGTGTAGCAGTCAGGGTCACTAACCACTACACCAACAGGCCAGTTTTTCTTAAAAAATATATATAATTTTCTAAGCTGATGTACAATCTCACATACATTGATACATCAAGATAAAAATATATTGCATTTAATGTATACAATGCACTAGCTTTTGCCCGCGGCTCCGCCTGCGTGTATTTTGGTTATCAGGGTAAATAGTTTGCTATGTTTTATACTCTCTACCAAAAAAATGTACGGAACTTTAAGGAAGTATGATGTTTTATTATTTATGTTTTTGTGTTGACGATTGACGAACTAGTATTCTATATTGCAGCAACAAGCCGGAGGCGTGTACGGCAGTTGTCTGGTGGGAGGCATGGGGGGAGTGGCGCCCATGCAGGCCGTCACTGTGGACGGACAGGACGCACTCTTCATACCAGCACAACACGCTCAGGTCAGTTGACACCGGTAGTGCAGTCAAGCCCCTCATTCCCACTGGGCACTCTGGGCACGTGCCCAGGGCCCCTTGATCGATAGGAGCTCGATTCCTGCCAGATCACCAATCGAAAATCAATATTTCACCGAAAAACTAAATACTAATTTTGCTCAGCTAATTTCGTAGGGCCCAGTTATGATAATTTGCCCAGGGCCTCCAACAGGCTAAAGACGGGCCTGAGTGCAGTATAACAACACTGAACATTTACTGAACATGTTATATTCTGTAGTAAAGTTTTTTTTTGTAAACGTTGGTACAGTTTACTCGAACAATTTTTTTTAGGATTTGGTTTCAAAATATCATGTAGATCATAATAATAAATATTCAATATAATGTTCATTTAATTTGTTTTCCAGAATTTCTCTGGCATGGGTCAAGTTAGCTTGGTCAACGGGCAGCTAGTGAGAACGCCAGTACTCCCTGCCGGCTTTCTACAAAACGTTATGCATTTACCAACCGGTATGTACTAGAACCATCTTCTAAACAGTTTAATTATTATTTACTGCAGGAGAAAAACTCTGATAACATTGTCGAACTTTTCTGGTTCTGTTCTGAATCCTTATTCAGGTGACAATATGTTAAGGACATTTTTAAGGTTAGCTATGTATTTACATAACTTTCATGATTACAATCACATGTTGTAAATACTAATATCTGAAATTTCTAACATATATTTCTTTTATTTAAATACTTTTTGCACCATAACCGCATGATATGCTGACTCATGAAAGAAAGTTAAATAAATTATAAAATAAATTATTTGAAATTAATGCTTTAGAGACTGGAGGCTATCGCCTTTAAAATTCTGAGATTAGAATATTGTCATCAAAGATACATACATATTATTATGGATAAATTACACACAGATATATCTAATAATACTTACTGTTTTATGACTGTACGGATGGCTTAGTGGTTTAAGCGTTCGACACGTCGCTTACTACTGCACGCTGAGTGTTGTGGGTCCGATCGCCACATGGGGCGACACTTTGTGTGATCTACAAATTTTTCTTCTGAGTCTGGGTGTTCTTTGTGTCCGTTTCATTATATTTGTAAAGTACCCCGCGACACACAACGTATTCCTAATGCGGGAGTTGTCTTTAAAAAAAAAACCGTTTTATGTTTTGCTACTACAATTGCTTGACATTGAAGTTTAATTATAAATCAGTTAGCTGTCATCAATTTCACTCATATTTAAGGTCCTTCTATACCCTTCATTAATATTCTTATCAGTTTATCGTTTCCATGAGACATTTACAGAAAACCTTATAGAATTCAATAATTGTAATGTTAAAATGTTAATACATATCTAGTTTTTCTCCTGCAGGGAATTCTTATAGATATTTCTATTTAAAATAAGTATTATTTCTGTTAGGCATCACAGTAGGTTTTACTAAACTCACACAAGCTTCGGGATTGCTTTGGGATTAATTTTCCGATCAACAGCTTGCTTTACGAACTAAAAACATTTTGGATTATTTTATTCCAGATACAACCTACATACTGTAATATCGTGTTTCCTTCCTAAAACACAGTTACCTCGTAATTTTTAAAGTATTTTTTTGTTTTATCGAGTAATATATACATAAAAAGTCAAGTGTGTAATGCATGATTAAACATTAAAATATATTCGTTTCTTCTAAATACAAACCTTCTTTAAATCTGAACTAGCTTAATATATTATAATTCAATCGTTCATATGTTTTATTGTATTTCAAATGTGTTTTACATGCTCACGGTATTCATAGTTTTTAACCGGATGTTAAGATACATTTAAAGACATTTCAAGAAAAGCTTAATTTTGTTCTAAGTCGGATACAGTCAACTTATTTCTAAGTGGCTCACCAAAAATACTGATTGTAGATATTTAAGTTTTTGCTCTATCTCTTTTTTTTTTCAAATTATGATTTAATCTCATAGAAATTAAACAAAAGAATCTGCAATATTGTAGTCATTTTCTGAAAGAAAGCTAATAATATTATAAAAGCTATCAAGTTATTAAATTTAAAGTTTACACAGAATTTTATTTACACATGTTAATTGGATTTTTACAATATTTAAATCCCCTCTGGGTACAATATTTGGGTCCCCTGGGTCCTAAAATAGGTTTCGTCCTGTGACTTGGGTATTAGTGTTTCTTCTACATACATGATATGCATATGTAACTACCATGTGTTAATATCATAATCTATGACAAACTTTTACATCTAAGTCAAAAGCGTCGCAATCACTCATTTACCATTGCATGTGTTAATTTGCTTCTAACTCGTACTATTTTCATACTAATCTGTGTTTTTCCGCTTTCTCCCTGCTCCTCACTGACTCCCGCTAACAGAACAGCAGGCCAGCGTGACCATCCCGGGCACTAACATATCCTTCCCCCTGAGCGCTTTGACCGGGAACCAAATGATCACAATACCCGGGACAAACATTACCATCCCTTCTGGGATTCAAGTCCCGACCAGCCAGACGATAACGATCCCGTGTAGCTCGTCCAGCGTGGGCGCAACCGTGAGTCTCGCGGGAACTGAATCCAAGACCACCGCCGCCAAAGACAGCAAGGAGTCGACCAGCCCGCAGGGACAAGGTTGGTCACGGTCAAGCCCTACAGTTATTACATCAAGATTTAAAAACATTATTTGAATTTTTATTTGTATATTTTGAAAATGTTGCCGTTTTTTAACTGAAGGATTGGATTGGATATCTAAACATTATTTCTATCCACAAATTCCTGGAGTTTCATGTCCTATGCTTTTGGTCATTATCTTGCAGTTATATTTATGTTGCTTTTTGATGTTTATTTTTAACGCACCATCGCTATCATAATCACTATCACCATAGATTTTATGTTAACTTTATGTAAACGCTAATAGAGATAGAAGTGGTTTTGCCAGGTGCTGCATCTGTTAAAACTGCTCATTTTAATAGAAATATCAATGCTGTTTTTTTATATAAATATTTCATGAAGGTTGCTTATTTGAATAAAGCTTAAATTATATTATTATTATTATTTTGATAGTAGGAATTTAAAGTCGTAGTTTTATAAACAATTTCATCAGCTATGAAAAGGACCTGCTCAATTTTCTGTCACATTAGCTTTTATTTTTTATATGTGTGTGTTATATCGAGTGCTTGCGCCAAAGTACTAGCACCAATGCACAAGTTATAATCGTCAAAAGACAAACTTATGTCGTCAAATGACAACCCTATGTCGTGAATAAGGCTGGGTACAGAGTACGGCGATTCAATAGACTACGAATACTTCTTGTTGTTTATATTTTATATTTTCATCTTATTAAGTGAAATAAGTCACTATTTATTTAAATAACAGAGTTCTTAATTGCTAATCAAATTTCTCTGAAACTGGAAATTGCGTAATACCTGAGTAAGTGAATATTTGTAGCGATATTTTAAATCCTTATAAATGACTGAAAATTGGTATTTAGGTGGTGGAGTGGCAGTTCGAGGTGGCGTGGGGGGTGTAGGCATGGTGCCGGTCCAAGTGCCAGTTAGCATGGCGAACGGACACACGGTGTATCAGACCGTACACCTGCCCGTTCACGCGCCCCAACATCTACAGATCATACCACAGTTGCAGCAGGTGAGATGTGTATTTTTGTATTGTGTAGCTCCAACCAGTCCCGTGTCATCATCTCAGCGGTGAAGTGGTATGATATATTCCACCATAAGTTGGTGTCAAGGAACCTCCGAAGAACGAAGTTGGAACCTGTGGTAAATGGCTTACTTGTTTTATTATCCAAGAGAGATAATGGGGGTAGGGCGCGTACGTATACATCTTACTACGATTATAAATCGACATTAGCTCAAGTAAAGGCACTTGCAAAATATAGTAGGACATAATTGACTACTGATGTGTAGAGGCCATGCCCGTGTAGGATTAATTTACTACAAAAAATATTTTTTGTTACTAACACAAATCGCAAATGTCACTCATAAAGCCGCCGCACTCAAATTGGACTGGGCCTACGGATCTATGGACAGAAATTAGCACCACTTGGGTCCCACAAGGCGCTAAACGACAACGTGGTAGGCCCAGGCGACGATGGCGGGACGATCTCGACGGCTTCCGAAAAGACTGGTCCGAACTAATAGAGAGATGTGGAAGGGAGAGAGGCCCTTGCCCTGCAGTGGGACAAAACAACCTAAAAATAAATAATAATAAAAGACAGGCAATCTTGGAAAAATATCGGCCAATTCTTATAAGTAGAAAAGCGTAGTGATTTTCATTACCTTAGTGCAATGAAATGTCCAGTTTTAGACTGTCAACGCTGTGAAAGTACTCATAAAAATTGTGTCTAACTGTTGGCCACTAAGTTTTTTCTCGCTGTAGCTGTGACCCGTTTGTTTTATAGTGCGACATTCCATCTGGACATATAAATTGACGTCTACTTGTTTTAGTAGACTTTACGTAAACGAAGGTCACACGCGTTGTCTAGTTCCTTTTATTTAAATTATAAAATTTGTTCTAGATGCAAGCCCAACCTCAAATGGCGAATGTACTAACGCCGTCCGGACAGATACAACAGATACAAATAGCTTCATTGGCGAATATGCAGGTAAGACTGATATAGACGATTCATCAGCTACGTATATAGAGCACGAGTTCTTTTTTTAATTTCGTAATTGACAGGACAGGAGTAAAAGAAAATTTTAAAAACCAACGGAAAAGTTCGTAGTAATGTACTAGGTATTGACTTTCATTACTTATGTGAAATCGGACACACGTCACATGTTTCATAAAAAAAATGAAATAGATGGATTTTTATGCAAATGCAGTGTTTTTATTCTAGGGAGTCCCTGTCGATTTGCTGGATAGTTTAGATTTACAATTTGGGCTTGGTAAATGGCGTTTCAATCGGGGTGTAGGATTCTTATTTCCCTTTTTTTGACACGTTCTAATTGTGTGCCCGAATGATAGTTAGTATTTAAATTATATAATAAAAGCTGTAAATATATGCTGGGCTTGGTTTGGTAGCAGGGTGGTGGTACGCAGACAGCATCAAGTTCGACAGCTACACCGGCCACCATTACCCTACAGGTGAGGTTATCCTGTAACAGCCATAAATTATGTAAAATTAGGAGCTAAAGATCATTTGGTAGATTTGCACTCGTGAAGCTACTAATCTACTATAAGGTAATGTTGTGTAATAAGAATTGTGTGAAATGTTAAATATGTAGTAGGTATTATTTAAAAATTCTCAATATTGTAGATATATTGATATTTTGTCAATATCCTTGTTTGAAATTAATGATAAACCATTTAAAATACGTTTTAAATAAAAGTACCATAAAAACACGGTTAGATCCTAATAAAACATATTTATGTCTATCACGCTGCTTGGACAAGGCGGTATCGAGTCCCATGCAAGCGGACTCAGGTAATATCCAACAGCAGCAACCTTCGCAGACGATCATTACGAGCACACCCACTGGACAACAAGTTACTGTCATACCTGCTGCGAGCAATGTACGGACCGCGAATGCTGTACAGGTATTGCGTTCAGGAATCTTCACCATTGTAACGAATATTCCTGTAACGTAACCTTAGTTGTTGTCATGTGTATATATTGTGTTTGAAATGGATTGGAACATGTTTTCAAGTGGGTTATCGTGAAATAAATGAGTTAGTTACAGTACTACACGTGAGACTCATGGGACCCGTAGTACCTACACTACCGACGGTGGTTTTGTAAATAAATCTTCGCATACATAAATTGTTAGTAATTATTGTGCTTTATTTATATCGAACAAATGACTTTGTAAAAATATAATAACAATAATATATAATTTATTCAAATTAATCCATTTTTAATTAGGAGACATTCGATTTGGGTATTATGTAGCTTACACACAGTATAGACTATACACACAGTATACACAGTTTTGAAATGTGTATTTTTGAAAAATAAAAGTATATTTCACCTATTAGAACATCTTTGCACAAAATGTAATTATATCCGGGCGTTATCCGTTGTTGAATTCAAATCCAAACAAGTTCACAACTTTAAATGTGATAAAAATGTTCTTAAGAATTTAGTTTGCCAAAAATGTTAAGTTGGTTTGTGTACGCTTTAAAAATCCAAAGTTCTGCACCGATTGACCTCTAAGTTTTGTTCCTCATACATGTCATTTCTCATCGATGCAACCACACTGTGCCACAGCGAAGCGTGACATGCTACAGCTAGTAACGTAATAAAACTTTCGTTTTTTTTTACAAGAATCTTCTTTTACAGGTGCCTACACTTGGTGTAGGCGGTTTAGGCGGCGCAGTTCAACTAGTCCCAGCCTTAGGGTTACCAGGAGTACAATTAGCGCAACTGCAGCAGCCACAGCAACAGTCAGCTCAACCACTTATCGGTAAGTTGGAAACAGGCTACTAAACATTATTTCTTTATGGTAAAGTTAAACATATAGATAAAAACAAGAAATAATTATCTCTGTAATTTACGTCTTATCTAAACTCAGCGTAACCATAGCTTTAACTATGGTGTCTTAAACACTATTAAATATACCTATTATTATATGGGCAAGTTTTTAACAAGTTACTACCGGGTTGTACGCCAATTCATAACACCCCCGGACTTTCATCGTAAGTTTTTTTTTATGAATTCTGATACTATCCTAGGTATAAAAACCTTGTTGGATAGCTGAAAATACGTACATGTTTTTAACAAATCTGCATTTTAACTGTCATTGTCTGTTTTTTTTTGCTAATTTTAAGCAAAGATTTTTTTTTCATTTTTTTTCCTATTATTAACCATCTACTTTTGGCCTAGTTTGTTAAGTTTACTACAATTTTAGTAATTGAAATTATAAAACAATTTATCAACTACACAAAAACAGTGAAAAACATAAAAAACACATGTTCTAAAATAAACTGTATTAGGCAAAATTTCGGCGATTTTTATAAAAGTCCAATATCTTGAAAATGGTTATTTTTGGGATATGGTATTTCATAGTGAAATCTGTCAGTTTTTTTTTATTATTTTTTATTTTGTTCGGAATACCAACAGCACAAATAACGCAAGGTAAACATTAGAGTAAAGTTACAACGAAGCTATTTACAGGTATTCGCAAATAAAATGATGGTAACTACCACCCCTTAAAGTATTTAAGTCGACTTACCCAGTAACCCTGTATATCGTATTGACACACTGGGATAGTGTTAAGTGGTAGGATTACCACTTACTTTATTTAGATTTTTTTATGATTTTAGGCTGGCAACACAATTTTATGTGTAGTTTTTTAGTGTTTGTGTTGTGTTTATTGTATGTTTTAGTAATGTCAGACTCTCGGTTTTTAGTTTCCGTAGGATATTCCGTAGGTAAAGCGATTTTTGGGAAATTTTATATAAATATTCATTCTGCTTCTTCCGTCTTATTGGACTTTAATTTGTTATTGATATCTAATGTGAAACATAACCTAAAATCTTAATATGACAATTTGTTTGTTGTTACAGTTTTAATATAAAAATTGTTGTTTATTTATATAAATTACAAATGTTTCTCAACTGAAATCATTATTTTGTAGTTTTATTGACGATTTTATTGGTAAGCCAAGTATCTTATCTCATAATCTCAATGACCGTGTTGTAGTAAAAGTTCCAGAACAGAATTTAAATATAGGCATGTTTAAATTCTGTCCTGGAACTTTTTAAGTTTTAACACACCAATGTTTAAGTTTTCAACCAATTTTAGTTTTTCTGTGTCATTTCTTTTATTTTACATTTTGTTTATATTTGTCTTAGCGTAGTAGTCTAAGACATGATTACTAATTTGATAATTTTGGATGTTGGAAACTGATTTCGCTGTCTATCCTTTTGACCTATTTCATCTCAATATGTTTGTTTGATGAATAATTGTACATTTTAATGTAATAGAGATGATGAAACAAAACTGCTATACATTGATTTATTTTAATGTTATTAAAATATAATGGAGTGGCAGAATCTTTCTTTCTGCCACTCCATTATATGTCTTTCTTTCTTTATACTTGTAAGATTTCTTACAGATTATCACATGATAAAATATAACAAAGTTATTGTTTACATATCATCATCACATAAAAAACCCTGAATAGTCCACTGCTTAATAGTCTACTTTTGGCCTACTATACCACACTGGCCAGATGGGTTGGTATAGAGTTTGTTCCAAGTTTTTCTTCTCTTTGCAGTGCTATTGTTCTGCATAGTTTGCTCCCTTAGCTCTTATGGTAACCGAACCGGGGTGGTGACACTCCATATCTTAATCCATCACCATACAGAAAATAGTTAAGTTTCTTATGTTCACATATGACAACAATTTATTTATAGGTCAGCAAATTCAACAAGACCCCAATGAGCCAGGTAAATGGCAAGTTGTAAGTGTAAGTGCGTCTAACGGCAATGGCACTACATCTACTACACCAGTGCCGCAGGAGTGTGAGGCAGCTAAGCACAGACCTACAAGTCCCAGCGGCAAGAGACTCATGAAAAGAGTAGCTTGCACTTGTCCAAATTGTGACCAAGGAGAGAAGTGAGTTCTTTTTTTACAATGTTTTCATGCAACTATAACTTTAGAACCATCTTAAACTTTTTAAAGATGTTAGCTATGAGGCACCTCACTAGTGTTCTGTGTGTGGGTGCTTACAACATAAAAAGAATCAGCTGGCAAAATTTCAAGTTTGTAGCCCCAGCGGTTTAGACTGCATTGATGAATCAGTCAGTTTATATATATAGTAGTATTGATATTAGGTAGTAGTATAGAGCAAGTAAGTTTATATATGTATATAGATGATCCGCATTTTGGGATCATTATTCCTGCAACAAAGGGCTAAAAATGTGGCAATTACAGGTTGACTGAGTGGTTGCTATTTTAATAATTTTATTATTTACAGAGAGCAACCTCTTGTCTAAGGAAAGGCCTATGTCCAGCAGTGGACTATCAAAGGCTGTTGATGATGACAAACTGACTAAGTGGTTGTTATATTATTAATTTATGTGTTTTGTGTGATATGGTTCTACACCCTATCTTCTCAACAGCTCATTGTTAAATTTTGCAATCTTGTCAAGGGTACAGAAAAAGATGACATGTAATCTATTATGTTATCAATCATCATCTCATTTATATAAATTTAAGTGTCCCAACAGTTTTGACTATATAGAAGTTGCTCTCTGCAATTAACTGAGATTGCATTATCTGACTCCCAATGGTAACGCTATGGCAATCAAGCGTATAATTATGTTTACAAGAATAAACGCGGTCACGATAACTGTACATAAACACACACACACAAACCTTTGAAATGCGTGATTTTTCTACGACGTTTCACTGGCTGTGTCGGTGTTTGTCACAGGGTGATAGAGTCAGTCTGCGGCCGCCACCACGACTCCGTGCAATCTGGTCGAAATGTCAGACATTTTTGTTTATTATATATTTCTAATTAACTAGTAGTAATGTCGAAATATTTTTTCTGCTCAGACTAGTTTAATGAAAAGCAACTTTTTGATAACCAACCATTTGCCGGGTTCGGCTATGTTTTCAGTTCACATCATGCATTTAATTGTGGTATATGTTGTTACGTAGTGGAATTTAATTTGTTTAACCAAAAATATTGTAATGTATTCCACATTGCATTGCATTTTATGTATCAGTAACTCAGTTGTCATCGCAACCGATGGTATCTAACTCTACCACTCGCTTAGCCAAAATTCTTTCTGACATATTGAAAAATTAAATTTAAAAAAAAAGCTTATAGCTTAAGTTCCAAGTCAATACATTAGATTTGTTCTTAAATTACACAGTTTATTAACCCGTAACCATTGGTCAAGTTATTTTTTTAAATCCCTTTACTGAGGTAGCAGTCACAACATCATTGAGTGGCAATATATGATATTGAAATGTGGACTGATGGATCTTGTGCTTTTCTACAATGGTATCAAAAAATAAAAGGTATAACTGTTAATCAGTACACAATATTTAATGATGCTACTGATCAATCTGTTAATTAAAAAAGAGTGGCTGTGAGTTTGTGTGCCCTTTCTTCTAATAAGGCTCAACCCCTTGGAAACGGGCGGTTGTTGATCGGCACAGGTATATAATGGATTTTATTTTACTAATTATTGAACAAAACAGATTGTTGCTATTGTGTGTCTTGATCTATGACTTTAAAGTCTACATTAGAGAGACTGGCAGAGAATGCCTTAGGCATTAAGTCCGCCGATGTATATATTTGTGCTTGCAGTCACAAATAAATAGTTTTTTTTTTTTATGAAATAAAGATATTCTGACTTAGATTATTTTAGTTATCAGAATCCCAAACCTTATAAAGCATATGAGACAGTGCCTAACAAGGAAACTTTTTTTTTTTCATAATTTGTTAATATATTTTACTGATCTAGTAGGTTGATGGATCGTAAGAAGCAGCATGTATGTCACATCCCGGGCTGCAACAAGGTGTACGGCAAGACCTCACATCTTCGAGCGCATCTCCGGTGGCATTCTGGGGAGAGACCATTCCTTTGTAACTGGCTGTTCTGTGGGAAGAGGTACACTTTATTTATATTTTCACGACACTGCTTGTTTCTATATAAACTATATTGGTTACACATGCAAAATGGATAGGATGGAATTATTTTGTGGAAATGCATACGTCATTTTGCTTCCTCATGTAATATCATAGCAATTTGTCATTGGAAATGGCTGTGAGCGTATAATTAGCATGTAATAAATACAGCATCTGACATTATTTTCTTTTTCATATATGATATCTAGTGTATTTTTAAACCTGAATTTGTCCTCCAGGTTCACAAGATCAGATGAGCTACAGAGGCATCGTCGCACGCACACGGGTGAGAAGCGGTTCGAGTGTCCCGAGTGCAGGAAACGATTTATGCGATCCGACCACCTCGCCAAGCATGTACGCATACACACAAAAAATAGGATTACGGTAAGTAATAATAATATTAGAAACATAACTAAGACTTATTAGCAATCAACTCTCTGTTAACCACACAAGATAGTATTTACAATAACTTTTTTTTAAACTAAGTTGGCAGAGTTTCAAGCTCCCGATGTGCCACATAGATTGCCTAATCGACCCTTCTCAAAAAGTATTAATACCCATATTGAGAGACATTATTAACTTTCTCGATACTAGAACGATAACATAAATTTTAGGTTCAAATCTTTCAATCAATCAAAAAGACACCTGAATGTGATAACTGTTGAAATGTTACAAAGATAAACAATTCTTTTTTTACAGGAGGTAGCGACATCAACACAGTCTATGTACTCGGACTCAGGCGACGACAGTTGTGACGAGAAGATGATGCTGACCATTGAGACTACTCATCAGGAAGCCGACAGCGAAGACAAGGTACTGAGGCCTAGTCCAAAGATGGAACCAGACCATATCGACAGCTAGGACGAAGACAGCGACGACTGAATGCGTCGCTGAGTTATTGAGCTTTAAAATGGGTGATGTCTAATATTTTATCTGCTGAAAGATTTCTGTCAGGATTGCAAAACTGTGGTGTGCTGAATAATTATACTGAGTCAATGTGCGTCAAGTATTGATACAAAAATAGATTTTGTAGTTCTCTGAATTTCCATTTCAGGCTGAACCAATATATTGAAGTCTCCTCATGGGAAAGAGTGTCATCATATAAAGAAGTAGTCGTCAATGGAGTCGCATTTCAAGTATTAGATATAGTTATCTGAATATGTTGAATCTAAAACTATATTATATTAATGGAGATGTTACATATTGCTCGACATACCACACTATACAGAGCCGCTACTACAAAACACAACACTACACCAAAATACTGGTACTCAAAAGGCCAGGTATTATAATAATACATTATAATATTGTGTAAAAATAAAACTTGTAGTCATTTGGTAGCAAAGTGCAAGTACTCTCATTCGAATCCAAAGGACTTAAGACATTCTAATATCAGAAAGGGGTACTTGCAACATGATAAAAGCTTTATCTAAGCTTTTAATTTAAAGAAAATCCTGTCTCCATTGAACACATTATACACCTAAGTTACAGGACAAACTGTTTTTAGGACTGGGATAACGCACATCAATAACTATCATGTGATATATATATCTAATGAATCATAGACAGTTAAAAGTTAAGGTAAGAGCTAACATTTTCATGCTAACAATATTTTGATACTTAAATAAATGCAAACGAGGTTGTTTCTAAGAGTAAGAGTGTCCAACTAAAGTATATTTAGAAGAATAATATATTAAATCTTTTTTATGCAATGTAGTCATTAATTCAGCCAGGTGATTGGTATTCTTTTTTTGATAAGAGATTGTCTTGTCAAAAACCCGCCTATGTATGTGTGAATAGTGAAATATGTAGTTTAAATTATTCTTATCAAATAGGGACAGTAGTTTACAAGGGAAATCTTATAATCCTAATTGCATTCTCTAATCATTTGTTTAAGCAGGTGATTACTCTATAGTCCATCATATTAGTGATAATCACTAATTTCACTAAGTTAGAAGAGATATGTAAGTTTAATTGAGCTTAATGTAAAATCATTATTTGATTTGGGACTAATTACAGCCACAGCACACGCTACTACACACTACACAGAAGCTTTTTACATTCAATCGCTGTAGAAATGGAGTACGTAGTATCGCGTTTTAGCGATTCTACGATGTAATTATAAGTGCTATATGATATAAGTATATAAGATTATGTGCTCAGCGTGTGGCTCAGCGGTAAGTCCTGTAAGTATCATTAATATATGTCTATCGTAATCAGAATTAAAAAGAAACGCATAAAAGGCTAACAATTTTAAAATGTACACTCTTTTAAGACATTTTTTATAAAAAGGGATCTAATCTTTTTAGTCAGGTTATACCATAGTTTTAAAATTAAAGGTAGCTAAGTAAATTGTTTGTTTTATGTGGCGTAAAATTAATGTCAAAGCCCGAGGATATTAAAACAAATTGATCTGTGATCAAAATTATCTGTACAGTTGTTATTTTAAATGTAAATTATGGTATCATCATGTGTACTAAGGTGTAAATAGTGAATTTGTAATATAACAAATTAAATAACAATATGGTTATGTAATTTGTTATAATCATTGTAAATATACTTTACAAGTTTATGTCATGTTGTAGTTCTTAAGTCATTCCATGTGTATTATTGGTTCACAAATGTTGGGCATACATAAAATCAAATCTTAATCATGTCTTTTTTCCAATATTTGTATATAGACATTTTGATAGAAGCTAATGTGTGTCTCTGAGTGATTAAACAGTCTGTAAAAGCTAAATATTGTAAAATTAAAATATCTATGCTTTAAAGAAAAAAAACATGGTTGCAGATGACCATTTATTCCAGCAGATAATCTTAAAACGAAAAAAACTAACGATGTTTATAACTTCTATTGCATCTGTAGAAACTATTGAATTTTTAAATACCTTCAAATATAATTTTTCATAAAATATTTTTAGTTATCGGGTTACATGTTCAGGATATTGATTTTGAAAACGTATTCAACAGGAGAGCCGTGTATTTTTAAATTCGTAACATGATCGGGTTAAAGAAAGCAACCCTTTACCCAGTACATGACTAGCGTAGGTATGGTGGTGTTGCTCAGCACCTCTGTGTTGTACTATTAAATGATGACTGAATGTTTAAGAAACCTCCAGATTAATAATTGTGCCTAAAATATCGTGGACACCTAATACACGCATGTGCTCTTGCGACAAATTTAGACTTAATGCCACTTGGTAATAGAACTAATTTTTTACGAATGTACACATGACCTCAAAGCCAGGTTCCATAAAATTTGTATGTAAGAAAGAAAGAGAAAGATTCGAAATACTCACTAAAACTCCTATCGCAGAATACTTTTATTCTAAAAATAAACGAACCAGCCAGCTAAGCAATAAAAAAAACCAAAGCTTATTACATATACCAGAACTCTGCTTCGCTATTTCTTTATATATTCACGAAGGTCTAAGTAGTGAAGGGAGTTTCTCTTATGAGATTTATACATTTTTAGTAACAGAGTTGGGTATTTTGGGAAATTTGGACTAATGTGTTAAGTCCGATACGTTATGGGTTCCATCATATTTGTAGATAAAAACGCTCATCATCGACGTAGAAGCTGGGTCCAATGTCATCGCTTTTCACCATAACACTGTATATATACCTAGGATAAATTATGATAGTTCACTTACTTTCACTGTATTGTATTGTACTTGTATTATGTTTGTAAATAGTTATTGTTGAACTGGTTAAATAAAATATTTTCATAATAATGTCTTGTATTATTTTGTAGTGCACAAAACACGCCTGAATCACCTCGGTGTATCCTGTATGTAATCCATATTTGATATAATTTTGTACTTTAGGTTTTATCACACTCAGTTAAAAACTGTAATGTTAGTTAAAAATGTATTTAATAAATTAGTCGAGATTGTAAGCAAGTGAATGTTGTAACATCATCGCTATTGCGGTCTTTCGGCACCCCCAATAGGCTTGGACCCGTCACCCGTTGCGACGATGGCAGTCTGACGTCGGCTTACGGCCGATCCGACATAGGTACTTGCCGAAGCAACCGTGTCCGGAAAGCATCTGCGTCGTCCGGATGATGAGAGTTCCGTGTTTCCTCTCCAGCCACTCTCGTAGGATGGGTCTTACCGCCGCTCTAGCGGCGTGCCCTGCACTGGGCCTACTCCGCCATCAAGTCGTTGGCAACTATTTCATTGCATCCCGAATGAAATTTAACAAAAAAAATTCAATGCAATTTTCAAATTAGTAAAAAAGTCTGTTCTCTCATTTATTTATGTATATAAAATAAATGAACGACTACATTTTTTTCCATGAGATTTTTTCTTGCCTTGCCAAATTTCAGAATTTTAAATCAGTGGGAATGATTGATCCTATAGATTTTGTTTTAGTTTACAGCATACACATTATTTAATGTTATTATTTTAATTGTATTATAATTGTTGCCTGTTGCCTGTTGTCAATAGTAAAAAGCAACCCACGCTTTTTTTCAAATTTATTTTCTATTTTTTAGTTTGGTTTTCTATAGAAAGCGTGTTTTTTAGTTTTTTAAAACTATTTTTTTTTAATTAGTGTATTGTTATCGGTCCTCGATATATCTACAAAGTTTGAACGAATTATGACCATTTAAAGTCAGTCAAAATCACGCCCAAAGGAGTCGGTTACAAACATACAAACAAACATACAAGTAAAGCTAATATAAAGCGTGTAAAAACAGGTAATTTAAAAACCTGTTAGTAATTATGTAACCATAAAACAATTGATTAAATATTACAAGATATTACAGACAGGTGTAGTTATATTTAAGGGTTAGTTTTGTATATTTTGCGTAACAGGTGTATCTTAATATCTATTTGTGGAATTATTAATAAACGGATGAACTTAAAAACTAAGCATCAATTTACTTTGTTTTTATGGTATCGAAGACGTAACGAGCAGACGCGTCACCTGACGATAAGTGACTACCGTCTTTCATGGACACCTTCATCAAGCATTGAGGTCAAAACTTTAGCATCACCTGTCGAGATGGGACCGTTTTGCCTTGATTTGTAGATACTCTTATTGCAATGGTATCTCCAGTGCTTTGATCTTTGCCTCACAGATATAGCTACACAGGGGTCTTCGCTTCCAAACTTCATCCTATATCCATACTAATATTATAAATGCGAAATTGAATTTAAAATGTCTGTCTGTCACCTCTTCACGCTTAAACCGATGAACCGATTCAGATGAAATTTGGTATAGAGATAGTTTGAGTCCCGGGAAATTACATGGGATAGATAGATAGATAGATAGATAACTCTTTATTGTACAAAAAAAAACATAATAAAAAGAAGAAATCAGTTTGTATACATAGTGTGTCTTATATCTAAACTTAAATTAATGTAACATGGAGAGTAAAATGTTAAAATTTGTACAATTGGCGGCCTTATCGCGTTTTGCGATCTCTTCCAGGCAACCACTGGATGGAGAAGGAGAATAGGAGTGAGATAGGGGGTTGCAGTTTGTAGATCGGAGTTTTTTGTAAATTAAGACTATTTGATTATACAAACTAATTCAAACATATACACTAAACACATACACACATCACAACACAATAAAAAAAAAAAAAAAATACATTTAACAGAGACTATAGAAGTAAGAGAGATAAATAAAAGATTTCTGACTGAGTGAAGGGACCCTCGCTTAGCAGCTTCGGAAATGCTCCTTCAGCAACCTTTTGAAACAGGGCAGTGTTTTTGCTCGTCTGATGGGCAGTGGCAATGCATTCCACAAGCGTATAGACTGCACTGTAAATGACTTGTCCATAAAAGTCGAGGTGTGCTTCGGCATTTCCAAAGTCAAGCTCTCTGACGATCTTAAGGACTTTGAATGCGTATCACGTAGGAATCTGAAGCGTTCCTTTAAATAAAGGGGAGTGTTGGGATTAAGGAGAATATTGTATAATAGTGAAAGGATATGAATATTCCGGCGAAGACGAATGGGTAACCAGTTAAGCTTATTCCGAAATTCAGAAATATGGTCAAATTTGCGCAATCCAAAGATGAACCTTATGCAAAAGTTTTGGAGCCGCTCAACCTTATTAAG